CTCGGGGGCGTGCCTCGGCGGGGCCCGGCAGGCCCAGTGGCGCTGCGGCGTGGCTTCCTGGCTACGCTTGCATTCTTTCGGCAGATAGGGAAACTTTTTGGCGGTCGGTAAGCCTCATATCAACTTTTAAGACAGGGGCCATGGAGGGCGCGCGGCAGGGCGCAGGGCCCGGCAGGGCCCGGCAGGGCCGTGGGGGCTCTACCGTGCCCTGCAGCGGCCTCGGATTAGACCGCCACAGGGCGGCTTCCGAGCGTTGGGCCTCGCTCTCTCTCGCACTCACGGCGCGTCCCGCATGGGAGCGAGAGAGACACGCCGACGGGAGTCCCGCTCAGCCTGCAGGTGGCCCGTGCTCGTCGAGGCCTCGGTCGAGGCCGTGCGGTCCGAGCCGGGTTCACGCCTCAGGTCGGCGTCCACCAGATGGTGCCGATGGCGGCGGTGGCGGCGATGGCCGCCGATACCGCTGACGAGAGGGTCGAGCTGCCGCCGCGTACCGCCGCGCCGGCCGCTGCCTTGGCCTTGGCGCCAAGCCACCCCCCGCGCCAAAGTTTTTCGAGATTCGAGACCGACCGCCAGCGGCGCCCAGCGGCGCCCGGCGCGAGGCTAGGTGTGAGGTCAGGCACGGCGCCGGCCAACTTCTAACGAGATCACTGCTGCGTCTTCCATTAAGCCCCGATGCAGGCCAGGTGCTGAGGCGGCGAGTGGCAACGTGGCAACCCTCTGATACAGTATTAATTTCCTTTCTCCTCTTTTTCCGAATACCGCAGCCCTGTTCGCAAGCCAGCCTGGCCCGCATGCCGCGGACAGCCCCCGATAAGCACTCCTCCCTCCCCCTTACACACACACACTCACACCATGCACACTCACACACAAGAGATGCAGGCAAGGCCAGCAGTCAGCGGCAGAAGGCCGTCCCGGCAGATGGCCCGATGGCGGCCCGTCGACCTTGCCTCAGACCTGCGGATGCAGAGGCCCAGAGCACCGAGAGGCTGGCGAGAGGCTGCACAGTGGGCCAAAAGACCGGCACGCGGCCAAAACTCTGGACGTGGTCTGAACTCGTCAAGAATCACTGAACAGGACTCGAACCGAACGTGTGACCCCACCGGCGGATTCCTCGTTCGCAGAGCAATCCATTGGTGGGGTCACACGTTCGGTTCGATCCTTATTTAGCGACTCGTGGAGCTCAAAACGCGTCCGGCATTTCGACCACCTCCACCGGTCCTCTGGCTCTGGGCTGACGAGAGGCCGGCGAGGGCGATGGCCAGTGACTTCTTGCGGTGGACGGCCTCGCCGGGGCCGCCCTGCTATCGCGAGAGTGCGTGACCTTCCCGCCTGCGCGGTCGGATGGACAGGGAAAACAGGGAAAACAGCCCACGAGGCGAAAAACGAGGATGCCGGCCTTGTTTGAGTTGCGGGCGCCATATTTGTTGTGGGCTGGGGGGCAGCCGGGCCGTCAGGGCCAGCAGCCTGCGGCTTGTCTTGGGGTGGGGGTGGAACGACGTGGAACGACGTGGAACGTGACCCGAGAGGTGAGGCCTGGCGGCGGGGCGGGGCGGGGCGGGACCGTGCTGCGGTGACGAGCGACGCCGGGGACGGCCGCCGGAACCACGGTGATCCCCAGCCTTTAAGCTGAGTGGATTATCGCCGTGTCCTGGTAGGCTGGCTGGCTGGCTGGCTGGCAGGGCGCACACCAACTCAATCTGCTGGGCTTGAGCCACGCCGACGCGTCTCTCGCCCTGCTGCGGACCAGCGCCGCCTCCTCATCGGGGGGGCAGCGGGGGCGGCGGGGGCGGCAAGGTGTGCCGCTGGGGCGGAGCGGGCGGGGAGTTCCATCTTTTGATGCCTCGCCTCCGCCCTTGTCGTGCGTGCCATATCCGTCTACACATCTGAGCCCCCAGCCAGCGCGGCCCAGCCCGCCTCTGCGCGAAACTCGGCAAAGGCCGGCAAACTCCCCGCCCGCCCCGCCCTGCCCCGCCCTGCCCCGCCCTGCCCCGCCCCGCCCCGCTCAGCCCAGCTCCGCACGCGCGCGCTTCGCTACGCTCCGCGGCCCATACGTGCTTTGCATGTTTCGAATTGTGGGGCCGTCAAAGTCTTGGGCCGGCCGCTCCGCCGCCCCGCCGCCCGTTCGCCGGTTATCGACAGGCTGCCGTACGCCTGTGTTACACCGCTACACCGTTGTTCCGCCGTGCTATTGCCTCGGTTCTTTTCGGCAGATGCTCGTCTGTTTTACATTGATGGCGCGGGGTAACGGCGCTTTCGGCCCCGCAGCGCCGAGCCGAGTCGGCAAAGTTTTGATTCGATTGGACGGAAACGGCGGCGCGCGGCCAAATGCTCGGGGCCGCCAATGACGTTGGCGAGATGGCGGCACGCCGAGGCCGCCGACGTCACCGGCACCACGCCGACGACGACACGCGCACTGGGCCGACCACCGACCCGGCAACCGCCACGTGGTGGATCAGGCGAGTCATCTACCACTGCGGCGGCGTGCCATCTGCACCACCTGGGGCACCGCCCCGCCCCCCCCCCCCCCAACCTTGCCGACCGCACACCGTAAACGCCAGGTGCATGCGGCAACCGCAGGTGCGACCTCCTGATTGGTCACGTTGTGTCGCGCGAACAGCCTCTTCGGTAAACAAATATTTCTAGTAAGTGTTTTCAGTTGACGACAGGCACCAGCTAGTTTAAGTTACAGTTACAAAAGTTCTTTTGTTTTTGTTTCTTTTTACATTTAAACACCAATTTTTCTAAACAATACAAGCAGAGAATTTTATAAAGTATTTTTTTGGCCGTGCTGGTGATGAGCGCACACGCGCGCAAGCAGCAGCCAATCGCGGGCCGCGCTGTGTTGTGTTATTCATCGCCAGCCAATCGGGGTGCGCGCCCTTTAATAGTGGATCACGACGCACCTGAAAGAGGAGGGGCTGCGTGCGCCCTGCCTGCGCCCTGCCTGCGCCCTGCCTGTGGCCTGGCTCTGCTGAGGTGAGACACTGTTTATAAATGCAAACAAGGTGGCGATGACTGTGCGTGTCGGGGACGTCGGGCGTGGCGTGGCGTGGCGTGGCGTGGCGTGGCCGGACGTGTTACCCAGCGATACCACGCGTGGCAGAGGCAGGGTTCGTGGTACTCGCGTGTCCTTGGTCCCGGCCGAGGGCGACAGGCTTGCCCAGGCTTGCCCAGGCTTGCCCCGCCCAACACGGCGACCTGCTGGCCGGCAAGGTATACGACGGCGGCCCGCCCCGCCCGGCCGCCCGGCTGGTGCGAGAATAATAGCCGTCGTTATTAACGCTTACCGACTCCCTTCTCCCTTTTTCGACGTTTGTCGTTTTCTTTCGCGGTTGTTTTTCCATCCCGACGCGCACAATTTATTGAGGGGGCGTTATCGCTTTGACGAGCGGATTCATGTGGTGGAGGCGAGGACCAACAGCTGCTGGCGCTATTTCTGCCACCGAAAAAAAAAGATCGGATGGCCGGGGTGGGTGTGTCGTGCACGCTAGCGCGGTCCGGTCGTGCTTTTTCCAAGTTTGGCGCCAAAACGGCAGAGGCTAAAGCGTTGCGAGAGATTGGGCAGCAACAACAACACTGCGGGCGGGGGGAGTCGAACCCGCGCCGCCCCGTTGGGACGCAATGGTGTGCGAGCCTCGAGGCCGCCCACGCCGAGCCCGGGCCGGCCCAGCACACTGACTCCGAGAGCCGTTATCGTCGCCCTGCCTCTCTCGCACTCACAGGCACCCCGTATAGGTGCGAGAGAGACAGAGCGACGGTCTGCTGTCTGCTGTCCTGTGGGAACGGCGCCGTTCGTCACATCCATCCGGATCGCCCTGCAGCAGCCTCCAGCCCTCCAGGCCTCCAGGCCGCCACCTTGGCCCGCCCCTCCCTGGCCGTGCCCTGGCTGCCCGCCCATTGTTGCGGCCTTCCGCTCCAGCAGTGCCCTGGCAGTGCCCTCCAGAACCTCCGGGCCATCCAGCGGGCTGAAACACTGCTTCCTCGCGGTCTCTCTCGCACTCGTGGGGCGGCCCGCAGGGGTGCGAGAGAGACGGAGCGACAGGGCGCTGGTCGGAATCGCTCTGCAGGCACGTTAATATGCGGCAGCGAATGGGGGCCCCAGGGCCCCACGTGGGGCGGCGAGGGCGGAGGTGTTTTATTCCCGACTGCCATTCCACAGGGTCGTTTCGTCGCTGTCTCTCTCGCGCCCCCCGGCTGAGCCCCGTGAGTGTGAGAGAGACAGAGCGACGAAACGGCTGTTCGGATTCGGCCTGCTCTTGGACCGCCACTCTGGCGGGCGGGCCGGCGGGGCGGCGAGGCACGCCGCCGACCCAAAGCCCCTGTCGGAGAAGGGGTAGGCAATCCCGCCGGACGCGGGTGACCGGCGGCCGGCCTATCCCGCCCACTGCAGGCGCTCCGTGCCTCCGAGCGCGAGGCGCGCCGTCACGTAGTCACGCCCAAGGCCTGCTTCACCTCCTCGGCGCGCTTCGCCGCCACACTGATCGGCAGGCGGTGCCCCCCGCGTCCTCCACCTACCCTTGACGACGGCGGTCTCATCCGTACGGTCGCACACATTTGCATTCTGGGATGGCGCGGCGGAGACTGTTGACGCGCCTTGCCAGGAGGCCCCTGTGTGTGTGTACCCATTCGGCGCGATGAAGTCTGCCGCGGCGAACAGACGGCCGCGCAGGCAGACAGACGGACCGACACGGGGTCGCGGGGCCCGGAGCCAAACTTGGAAGTGAATCATCCGCTTAGCGCTGTGGATTTCATACAAGTAGAAGCCGGGGACTTCCGCGTCGGCGGCGATGCGGCGGGTTGAGCGCGGCACGGCGGCACCGCGCGGAACGGAACGGCAAAGTTAGTGCTTTACATATGCCGTAATCACAACTCAGCGGCGCGGCCAGGTGGGCGGGGGGGGGGGGGGGGGGGGGGGGGGGGGGGGGGGCGAGGTGGCCTCGCCCAGCTGTCGATGAGCACGACGCACGCCCCTCACGCCGTTTGTTTACGTCCTGTTGCAGGTGTCCTTCTTCTCCACGTCGCCCGAGCTGTCCAACAAGCAGCGCTTCGAGTTCTTCTCGCGCACCATCCCCAGCGACCACTACCAGGTCAAGGCCATGGTGGAGATGGTGCAGAAGTTCCACTGGAGCTACGTCTCCATAATCTACGAGGAGAGCAACTACGGCATCAAGGTGGGTGCGCTGGGTTGCTTTTCCCTGTTTGCATCGCGGCGGCATCCTGGCTGGCTTGCTCGTGGCCTGGGGGCTGGCCTGGGGGCTGGCCTGGGGGCTGGCCTGGGGGCTGGCCTGGGGGCTGGCCTGGGGGCTGGCCTGGGGGCTGGCCTGGGGGCTGGCCTGGGGGCTGGCCTGGGGGCTGGCCTGGGGGCTGGCCTGGGGGCTGGCCTGGGGGCTGGCCTGGGGGCTGGCCTGGGGGCTGGCCTGGGGGCTGGCCTGGGGGCTGGCCTGGGGGCTGGCCTGGGGGCTGGCCTGGGGGCTGGCCTGGGGGCTGGCCTGGGGGCTGGCCTGGGGGCTGGCCTGGGGGCTGGCCTGGGGGCTGGCCTGGGGGCTGGCCTGGGGGCTGGCCTGGGGGCTGGCCTGGGGGCTGGCCTGGACCTGGGCGGCCTTGCCGGGCCTGTGCGCTCGGCGCGCTCGGCGCGCTCGGCCGGCCGCTGCCAAGTCTCCCGGAAGTAAGGCGCCCATTGTCGGGAATGGCCCGGACGGCCCGAACGGCTGTCCCCGGCGTCCCAGCGCCCTAGGCCTCGGACCCCGCGCCCGCGGCCTAGGACCCCGCGGCCTCGCACCATCAGCTTTGAATTTTCGCTGCGCGTGAATACACTGCACGGGTTGACCGTCCCTCAGAGGCGCCCCGCCGCGCCCCCAGCAGGTTTGTTCCGATCAGTGCTTGCGTCACCCCGTGTGCCTCGCACCTCCAGACGCACCCGCCCCTCGAGTGCGAGAGAGAGATAGGCAGGCCCGATATCTCGGCTCCATCACGCCCGCTGCTCTCGCCCGACCGGGCCGGCACTCGCTGGCTCGGCTTGGCACTCTCCAGTGGTTCGAGATATCGAGATAGTATCGACAATGGCGGCGTCCCGGCCGTCCCGGTCCGGGCCGCCAGCGTGGGCATTAGGTGGGTACACTGGGCACCACACATGTGGCGCCTCTGACTAAGCATCGCGGTTCGCGGTGAGCCATGAATTGGTAATTGGTAAACAAGTCTCTGCGATCCCGGCCCACGGCACACAGCGGGCCGCCAGGGAGACCATCATGCAGGCCACCATGGCAGACACGATGCAGGCCACCAGGAAGGCCACCAGGCATACCATCATGCAGGCCATCAGGCATTTGCCACCATGCAGACCACCGGGCCAGCGGCGTGTCCGGGCCCGTCCCCGGCGGTCGTCGGCGTCCAGGGCGATGCGCGGTGGGCAATGGGCCGGGCCAATGTTTTATGCAGCAGCGCGAGGCCCAGGCCGGCCGAGCACGACGCGACACAGCCCTTCGGTCTTCCCTTTTCCCTCCGGAGGGGCCGGCATGCCGACACGACCAGCAGACTGATCCCGTGAGTCGTTTTCGTCGCTCTGTCTCTCTCACTCTCATGGGCGCCTCGTATCGGTGTGAGAGGAACAGAACGATCAAGACGACAATCTCGGAATCAGTCTGCAGCGACCCCGATGCGACGCGACGGGCTGCCCACCGTGTCCAACGTGTCCAACGCGTCCGCAGCAAATCACACTGGGCGAGCGGTTGCCCGTCGAGTTCCGCCGCTCTGTCTCTCTCGCACCGACGCGGGGCTCCCTGCGGGTGCGAGCGTGATGGCGTCGAAAGTACGTACTGGGTGATGGAATGAGCGTGCTGCCGGCCCTCCATAGACTGCTTCCGAGAGTCGTTTTCATCGCTCTGTCTCTCTCGCACTCGTGGGAGCGTTCCGGAAAGGCGCGAGAGAGACAGAGCGACGAAAACGACTCTCGGAATCAGTCTGCTTGCTGCTGGGGGGGGGGGGTGTGGATTCCAGATTTCATGTAGATTGGCGCGCGCCGCCCACTCCGCGTTTCCTTGTCCACCCCACTGGCAGTGGCAATTATCAAGGCAGTGGGGCGCTGGCGCTGGTTGGCTCGGACAGGGAAACGACGCCCTCGTGGACGCGAACAGCGCGTGTTGCCCGGCGTCTCCGAGGGCGTCCCGCCGCGTCGAGAGCGCCACAAAAAGTGTAAGGGAAACAATTTTTTTTTTCAATTTTTCTTTTTTTGGAGGGCTAAAAAGGCCCACAATTTGGCCAACTTTCCACAAGCCGCGGCTGTTCGGATCAATGGAGCGCCGCCGTGTGACTGTCCACCTGTGGCGGTGTAAATGGATCGCCGCCTACAGGAGTCTTGCGTCCGTCTCTCTCGCACTGATGGGGCGCGCCGAAGGGGTGCGAGAGAGACAGGGCGAGCGCTGTTGGGGGGCCGGCTGGCCGTCGTGCGTTGAGTTCCCCCCGCGAGGGGCACCTTTCCCCCGGCAGCCCCCTGATTACCGCGACGGGACATGCGACAACTTTTCGAAACACGGAGAGCGCGGAGCTCGGCGTCGGGCGGCCAGCAAAGGCCGGTGGAATCACTTTACGTTCCAAAGTGGGGGCTTTCAAAGCCGTGCGCCGCCGCCCGCTCGCCGGACAGGGGACGGGGGTCGCCGGGGAGTTCCGGCCCGGTCCGGCCGGTGCGCTGTCGCAAGCCTGTGCTTCCTGCCCGGCGTCGTCAGCAACACTTTTTCCTCTTTCCCTATCTCGTTGCCAAGTGCAGCGGCAGCTGGGAAGTCGACCCGGCGGTACTGTTGTTGGTGGTTGTGATGGTGGTGGTTACGGCGCAGCGCGTCTGTGTCACAACTCGGGAAACATATGCGTGAAAAAGCCGGAAGTGGCGTGACAGGCGTGACACCGCATCAGGGCGCGTTGCGGGGCGGGGCGGGGCTCGCCAAAACGCGGCGGCGCCAAAGTTTAAATGGGATGAAACGAGGTACGTCTCGTCGTGGCATTCGCGCTCGCCGCCCCGAGCTGTTCTGTTTTTCCAACTCCCGGGCCCGCTGCCCGCGGAGGGGAGGGGGAGGGTCCGGAGACCGCCGGAGACGGATCCCTGGAGGCAACCGGCTCAAAAGGCCTTACGCTAGTTGTAAAGGGGCGGGGCGGTGGCTGCGACCGACCGACCGTCCGACCGACCCTCAGGGCGGAACATTAGCTGCGGTGGGCTAATCCAGTGTCGGAGGCCGACAACGGCGAGCGAGGAAGCGGGCGGGGCGGGCGGGGCGGGGCGGGGAGGGCCAGACGCCAACAGCGAGGCGACAAGGGCCTTGGCGAGCTGGGCCAGGCCGGCCAGGGCGGCCAGGGTGCCGTCTTGGACACGACCAATTAGCCTCGGGCGGCCAGTTGGGAGAGGGAGGGGCCGCATCACATGAGCGAACATCAGCCCCGAGCAGACAAGGCGGCGGACACACGGCGTTATGGCCCCGCTGCAGCGCGCTGCAGATAGTGCGGGGGATCTTTCGGGGGCATCAGGTGGACGGGGGTCCAGGGCGGCCAGGGCCTTGGCCTGGGCGGCGATGCGGCGCATGTGGAACAACGGGAGGGTTGCCGTGGGACGAGCCACACCGTCACCACGCCGGCAAAGTCCTTGCCCTCCATGACGTCGGCGCGAAGTCCCGTAGGCCGTCGCCCAGGCCGTCCCAAAGGCCGCCGCGTAGACCGTCCCGAAGGCCGTCCCCCGGCCAGCCTGTCTGCTGACTTGGCCGCTCGGCCCGATGCCCCGGCCGACAGCGCGGCATCGCCTGGAATGATCCACGGCCAATTTCCATATCCGTTCTCCGTTCGCTCCGCTTTTCGTTCTCGGGCAGACCGGCAGACCGTCCGGCGGGGTTGGCGCCTGCAGCGCGTCAGCGCCAGCGCGCCAGCGGACTCCTCCTTGATTCCGACCGTCCTTTCGTGGCGCAGTCTCTCTCTCTCGCACCCCGACGACCGATGAGCCAGTGCGAGAGAGACAAACTGTTCGACCTGCAAGGTCTGCGGGCTGTCGGGTCGGTGTACATTTACTTGAAGGTTACTTGTTTTTGTTTTTGTTTTGTTTTGTTTTGTTTTGTTTTGTTTTGTTTTGTTTTGTTTTGTTTTGTTTTGTTTTGTTTTGTTTTGTTTTGTTTTGTTTTGTTTTGTTTTTTGTTTTTTGTTTTGTTGAAAGTCGCCACACTGTGGGAGGCGCTCCTTACACCAGTGCACCGCGCCAAACAAAGCAGAGCCTTGAGGCATTGGAGCGGCCCGCCCTTTTGGGCCGGAAAGCAGGGCCGCCTGTTGCTGTCCAGGCTTGGTCCGCGTCGATGGTGGTGATAAAGCCTCGGGTTCCTGGTTCGAATACCCGCATTGTCTTAATAAAAAAAACTCTTTTCCGCCCTCGATTTTACTTCCTTCCATTCCACAGAGCGCGGACGGACACTGAAAGACTGGGCTGGCGCGCTGCCTCTCGAACAAAGGCAGAGGGCCGTTTGAACTGTGGTTGGAATAAACGGGCAAGTGTAAATGCTGGAGGTGCTGGAGGGAGAACCCAGCCGGCACTGCAGACTGCGAAAGGCCTTGCCTCGCCCCGGAGACGGTCCGGGGAGCTGGCGGCGCTGGCGGCGCTCTGCTCGCCGAGCTCTAATCCACCGCCAAGATGCTCCATGCCTTGCCTCGCCCACCCAAATCTCTGGAGCGCCCTGAATCAGATCAGCGCCAGCCCAACTTCCTGGCGGCCTGGCCCGCCTGGCCGCAGCCCTCACCACACCACGGCCCTCGCCAAGGCCCTCGCCAGTAACAAGGGTCAGACTAAGGTCGTGTACCCGCCGCCCCGCCGCCCGCCCACCTCCCCCTCGCTGCGCCGCGGCCGTCTGCCATCATTTTGCCTTCAGACGGGCAGTCGGCCAGACGGGCAGCCCCGAGTGAAGGGCGGCGTGGAAGTTGGTCAGATGGCTGCCTCGTTTCTCACTCAACCGGCCGGCCGGGCGCGCGGCGAAGAAAAAGGAGCGGAGTTTCGAGTCGAGCCGCGCCGCCGCGCAACGCCGAAGCAGCCCCGAGTCCGTCGCCCCGTCTCTCTCCCACCGCCGCGGCACGGCCCGGGAGTGCGAGAGAGACGGGGCGACGAAAGGGCTCCGGGCGACTCACGGACAGGTTCAGCGTGAGCCAGTGCGGCCCAGGGGGACCTGCAGTCTTCCGGGCCGCAGGGCCGCAGGGCCGCAGGGCCGGCACCCCCCGGGCCGGAAAGAGGGACGTCTTACGCAGTCTTACAGTCTTACGCTGTCCCCTGTCGAGCCGCGCCGCCCGGCACCGCCCGGCACGCCCGGCCCGCCCGCACCGCCCGGCACCGCCCGGCACCGCCCGGCACCGCCCGGCACCGCCCGGCACCGCCCGGCACCGCCCGGCACCGCCCGGCACCGCCCGGCACCGCCCGGCACCGCCCGCCCGGCACCGCCCGGCACCGCCCGGCACCGCCCGGCACACGCGCCCGGCACCGCCCGGCACCGCCCGGCACCGCCCGGCACCGCCCGGCACCGCCCGGCACCGCCCGGCACCGCCCGGCACCGCCCGGCACCGCCCGGCACCGCCCGGCACCGCCCGGCACCGCCCGGCACCGCCCGGCACCGCCCGGCAACGCCCGGCACCCACCGCCCGGCACCGCCCGCACCGCGCCGCACCGCCCGGCAACCGCCCGGCACCGCCCGGCACCGCCCGGCACCGCCCGGCACCGCCCGGCACCGCCCGGCACCGCCCGGCACCGCCCGGCACCGCCCGGCACCGCCCGGCACCGCCCGGCACCGCCCGGCACCGCCCGGCACCGCCCGGCACCGCCCGGCACCGCCCGGCACCGCCCGGCACCGCCCGGCACCGCCCGGCACCGCCCGGCACCGCCCGGCACCGCCCGGCACCGCCCGGCACCGCCGGCACCGCCCGGCACCGCCCGGCACCGCCCGGCACCGCCCGGCACCGCCCGGCACCGCCCGGCACCGCCCGGCACCGCCCGGCACCGCCCGGCACCGCCCGCCCGGCACCGCCCGGCACCGCCCGGCACCGCCCGGCACCGCCCGGCACCGCCCGGCACCGCCCGGCACCGCCCGGCACCGCCCGGCACCGCCCGGCACCGCCGCCCGGCACCGCCGGCACCGCCCGGCACCGCCCGGCACCGCCCGGCACCGCCCGGCACCGCCCGGCACCGCCCGGCACCGCCCGGCACCGCCCGGCACCGCCCGCACCGCCCGGCACCGCCCGGCACCGCCCGGCACCGCCCGGCACCCCCGCACGCCCGGCACCGCCCGGCACCGCCCGGCACCGCCCGGCACCGCCCGGCACCGCCGGCACCGCCCGGCACCGCCCGGCACCGCCCGGCACCGCCCGGCACCGCCCGGCACCGCCCGGCACCGCCCGGCACCGCCCGGCACCGCCCGGCACCGCCCGGCACCGCCCGGCACCGCCCGGCACCGCCCGGCACCGCCCGGCACCGCCCGGCACCGCCCGGCACCGCCCGGCACCGCCCGGCACCGCCCGGCACCGCCCGGCACCGCCCGGCACCGCCCGGCACCGCCCGGCACCGCCCGGCACCGCCCGGCACCGCCCGGCACCGCCCGGCACCGCCCGGCACCGCCCGGCACCGCCCGGCACCGCCCGGCACCGCCCGGCACCGCCCGGCACCGCCCGGCACGCCCGGCACCGCCCGGCACCGCCCGGCACCGCCCGGCACCGCCCGGCACCGCCCGGCACCGCCCGGCACCGCCCGGCACCGCCCGGCACCGCCCGGCACCGCCCGGCACCGCCCGGCACCGCCCGGCACCGCCCGGCACCGCCCGGCACCGCCCGGCACCGCCCGGCACCGCCCGGCACCGCCCGGCACCGCCCGGCACCGCCCGGCACCGCCCGGCACCGCCCGGCACCGCCCGGCAACGCCCGGCAACGCCCGGCACCGCCGCACATCCTGCCGAGTCTTATATATAGCGCGTTCTCCGGATGCCGCTCGCGCCCTGGGCCTCGCCGTAGGCTGTGCGATGCAGTCACACACACACACACACACACACACACACGGGCCTAACCTCGCCGCTTCACTTTCTCCGCATGCAAACCGGAGAAAAGGCACGCCCTCTGGGCTTTCACCGCCCTAACCCGCCTGCCTATAGGCCAGCGGTTCCCAACCTTTTTCGGTTCGCGACCCCAAATTTGTAACAAAAAATTTCCGCGACCCCCAGGAAAAATTTCGCGACCCCACGCGACCCCTCCTTTAGCATGCCTTTGATACAAAGTGCGATAATCCACCTTAGTTTGGGAGCAGTATTGCCGCAAAGTTGATCAAAACGGCCACAAATGTATTTTAAAAATCGTGTTTTGGGCCGACTTTAAGCAGCCACTGCGTCGGATCCGAGGCGGTATTTCGTCCTCCCTCAACGGGCATTTGGTCTTTGGACCTTCCTTTAGCATGCCTTTGTTACGGAGTGTGATTATCTGCCATAGTTTGGGAGCAGTATTGCCACAAAGTTGATCAAAACGGTCACAAATGTCTTTGAAAAATCGTGTTTTGGGCTGACTTTAAGCAGCCTTTGCGTCTGATCCGAGGCGGTATTTCGTCCTCCCTCAACGGGCATTTGGTCTTTGGACCTTCCTTTAACATGCCTTTGTTACGGAGTGCGATTATCGGCTTTAGTTTGGGAGCAGTATTGTCTCAAAGTTGATGAAAACAGTAAAAAATGCCTTTGAATGCCATTTTGATCCACTTTGAGACAATACTGCTCCCAAACTAAGGCCGATAATCGCACTCCGTAACAAAGGCATGCTAAAGGAAGGTCCAAAGACCAAATGCCCGCTGAGGGAGGGCGAAATACCGCCTCGGATCAGACGCAGTTGCTGCTTAAAGTCGGCCTAAAACACGAGTTTTCAAAGGCATTTTCGACCGTTTTGAACAATTCTGCCAGCCGGGAAACAGCCGCGACCCCAGGCGACCCCAACCACCTCGCCGCGACCCCTCGAAATTTTTTCGCGACCCCATTTGGGGTCGCGACCCCAAGGTTGGGAACCGCTGCTATAGGCCCACCCTGCCGCCGTCGTCGTCGCTGCCCCTGCATGCCCTCTCACCTGTTTTCCTCGGAGGGTGTGCTGCTGCTTTTTCCATGCTTTTTTTTTGGCACCGCCACCACGTTAGCTGAATCCGATTGAAACTCATACATAAGGCATGGCCGGGCCGTGACGGGGGATGCATGACGCCAGCCAGCGCGCCGCCAGCGCCCTTCGACTCGTCAAAAAGCGGCCCCTTGTTTCCCCTCGGGCATCCTTTAATTAGACCTCCCACGCACACACACACACACCCGCATGCACGCACACACACACACACACACACACACACACACTGTGCTTTCCACTCACAGTGGACGCACTCGTTTTTTTTTCGCTCTCCTTGCCTTATTCTTTTCTCTTTTCGGAACGGGTCGCGGCGTCACATCTAAATTTTGCGCGCGAACGCGAATTTTGCGCGGCACTGGACGGGCGGCCTCAAAAACGCAAGGAGGATCGCGGACGGACACACACACACACACACACACACACACACACATCGGCCGGTCGCAAAAGTTGCCTCCTCCTTTTTTTCTGGATCCGCTTCTGCGCCGGACTGACGCGAGTTTTGGCGGGAAAGTGAGTTTGACGCAGGTTGTTGTTGTTGTTGCAGGCGTTCGAGGAGCTGGAGGACCTGCTGAAGGAGCGCAACGTGTGCATCGCCGTCAAGGAGAAGCTCGTCAAGGACTCGGGCGTGGCGGGCGACAAGGCCTACGACGAGATCGTGCAGAAGCTGCTCACCAAGTCCAGAGCCAGAGGTATTTCCCCTAAGGGTTGACTCACTGTAAAATTTGGTGTGAGAACGGGCTCAGAGTGGGAATGGGCTAGAATCTGGCTTATTTGTCACAAATGTTTGCCTAGACGTTTTTGCTGACTTAATGTGATAAAATGTGTACAAATTTGGCACAAGGGGTTGTTTCCCCCCTCGGGTGTTTCTACTTTCTCGTTTCGATTTTTAGCAGATGATACCTTCACACTTGAAATATACTTAAAACTACTATACATGAAGGTGTCAGCGTGCTTTTACTCTCGAGTCCAGAAACGAAGGGCGTATCCTAAACAATATAATAGGGGCTGGCTGCCGGGGCGGGCTGGTGCGTGTGGCTGGCTGGCTGGCAATGAGGCGCAGCCTGCGCGGAATTCGACAATCCCTCCTTGGTACAGCGCCAGCGGCACCGGGCCTAAACAATGGCACCCCCTCCTCGCTCGCGACGGCCTGCCACGGCCTGCGCGCAACATTGACAATCCCTCCCCGCCTGCCACGGCGCGGAATATCGCGCAACAATGCCTCCCGATTCGGCCCGGCCCGGGGCACTCGGGCCAGCTCGGGCTCGGCGGCGGGCGGTGCAGGCCACCTCGGCACGGCTAGTACCAAAGTACCAACACCGGCCACCTCGCTCGGGTCTATATATTTTGTTTCATACACAATTTTAATTACTATCTTTGGAATGAGCCCGCATACTACCCCGTACAAGGAAACCGAACGAGTATTGACTGAGAAATTTGAAAGGGAAAAGAAAAAAATTTGAACTCTACACCCCCTCCCCAGTCTTAATGGGGAGGCCTCCTGCTTTACTTCGGTGTTCGGGATGGGAACCGGTGCTATCAGGTACCTGGGGTTAATCCCGTCAGCGACCCAAGCGTTCGCCGGGGGACCCAGTAGGACCCCAAAGCTCAGGCAGTAGGGTGAGAGCACCCAGTACGAAGCTCTTTGAGGGGCGGGACGTAGAGTGAGACGACAGAGAGACAGAGAGAGACTCAGACAGAGAAGAGGTTTGGTGGGAGCTTCTTGTTTTCGTAGGGTTGGTTGTGTACCCCATGGTACCCCCACTGTCCGGCGCTCCCGTACCGAACATACAGCGTTTTAGGCCAGCTTCGAAGGACTTATCATCGCCTCCCCGACGAGTCAAGGAGGCACCACCCGCAACCACACACCGGATGGTCTGGATTGATGGATCAAATACTCCATCGCTCCAGTGCCGAGGCCAACCCGCCGAAGCGGATTGCTTTTTAGACACCCACAGCGTAGAGGCCAGGTGAATGTGACTCTGACCACTACGCTATCACGCTTGTACGTCTGGCAGCGTGTTGGACGACGGGTTTGAGTTGCACTGGGAGGAAGGCGGTCGAAAAATGTAATGAAATGATGGGATTCGATCCCCGGACCCCGCCATCGGGATCAGACGACTTTACGCTCTCGGCCACCACGGCCCATGATGAGGGAACGGCGTGAGGTGGGTTCTTGACGCAACAGGACTCGACCGACCCGGTCAAAATTTCGCAAGAAGTTGGGGGAGTCGAACCGCCGACCCTAGCATTGGGAACCGACGCCTCTACTCCCTGGACCACCACGTCCCATGCTCGGAGTGGGCTCACGTTTACGTGTTTCAACCGCACTGGGTGAGGCAGTAAAATTAAATGGAAATATTTGTTAGGAGTCGAACCTCCGGCATGTGGGTCTGTTGCACACGGCTCCGCTCGGATGGCCTCGAACCACCACCCTTAGGATAGTAAGTCGAAAAAACGTATGTGACGCTGGTATTCGAACGCCCGCCTGCGGTAACTCGATCCCACGTCTCTAACCTCTCGGCTATCACAGCAGTTGTGAAACGCGATGGATCATCTGCCTTCATTAACGTTCGTTGAATGAGATTTTTCTTTTTTTTTCTTTTTTTGAAAAAAAAAATTGATTAACCTGAGTGCGGCTTGCGAAACTGAAACAATAAATAAAAGGGGGGCAATAACAATTATCGGGGCCTCGTAAATCCGGCGAAAGGGCGTGCTGCTCCAATAATAATTCAAGGAAGGGCGGTCATCATGGCCTTGTTAAGGGCCGCCAGGCACTCGCCGCCCCTCGCCGCCCCTCGCCGCCCCGCCATCTCAAAGTTTCTTTCCTCGTGGGAAGGAGCGGCGCGCGCAAATTTGCATAAACTTAGTGAAGTTAAGGTTTTGTTCCTCTATTAAAGGCTGCCCTTCGAACATCAGCGATATTCATGAACAAAAGAATAGTGTCCATTCCACTCGCCCGCGACTCCTGGATCCCTTAATGAAGGTGCCGTTTCCTGTTGGGGAGTGTCTGCCGGCTGAAAACAGCCCGAGCTGCGTTTCGTCGTCGCTCCGTCTCTCTCGCACCCCTCCGACGCGCCCCGCGAGTGGGAGAGAGACAGAGCGACATAATCGCGCCGTTCGGAATCACCAGCCTGCCGACCCGCCGCAGAGCCACGCCGCGGTTCGTCGCTGCTAATGAATGATCACTTTTCAGAAAGTTTCCGTCGTCGGCGGGTGGTGGCGGGTCGGGCGGGTGGCGGTGGGCGCGTGAATGTACACTCCGCCGGTAACAAGCTGTGCCCGAGGGCCGCGCGGGCTGACAGGCAGGGCCGTGGCGCCGTGGCCTCGCCAAAGTTGCCGCTTCCAGGCGTTCCAGGCCGCCGTTGTGCCTCGGCCTGGCGCGCCGCTCGTCAAGGAGGCCGTCGTCGTCGTCGTCGTCCTGGTGGGCACGACGCTCGTTCCGCACTTTTTCCCCCCGACGTTTCGGGGGCGCCTCTCATTGGCTGGATGGCGCTGCCGAGCAGATTTCTCTCCGACTCCGCGAGGCGAGGGCGCCGGACAAAGGGCCACTACACTGACGCGTTGCTGTAGCCTTAGCCTCAGCCACAACGCCCGAGGCGGCAAAATAATTTTGCGGCGCCAAACGAGGGGAGGTACTCGCACACGCTCTCTCTCTCTCTCTCTCTCTCTCTCTCTCTCTCTCTCTCTCTCTCTCTCTCTCTCTCTCTCTCTCTCTCTCTCTTTCACACACACACACACACACACACACACACACACACACACACACCGGGGCCAAGGTCGCGGGGCGCCCTCTAATCACCCCCGACACAGAGCGACACGCGAGCCGCGGCCACGTGGCGCGTCGAGGCGCCGCGGAGAAAGAAATCGCGCGGAGAAGGAGGAAGAGAGGGGGGAGCGCAGTGTGGCGGCGGCCGCGAGGAGTAATCATTTTCGCGGTGTGACTCGCGATGTCGCGGAGGGGGGAGGGGGAGGGGGGACAAAGTCAGGCGGAAAAACGAGGGAGCGGAAGTGGCGGCGGGGAACTTCCGGTGAAATTAGTGGAGCGAGAGCGAGTGGAAATAGATGGCGCGGCGGCAGGGCCGGCAGGGCCGGGAGGGGTGATGGGATTTGCACCTGAGTAGGTCGAGCATGCATTCGCCGGCGCGCTGGCGACGGAGGCCTCGCCGAGGGCTTGCCGCTCGAACGCGCTCTCCGCTCAAGCTGGCGACGCGACGCGACGCACCCAGCGCGACCTTTAATGCGCGGCCTCGTCGGGCTGCTTCCGTCGCGCTGTCCCTCTCGCACTCGCGGGCCGTCCCGTTGGGGTGCGAGAGAGACGGCGCGACGCTGCTCGAGCGGAAGACGCCGCGTCATGGCGCGGCCCGCCGACTGGAGGCGCGCTTGTTGGATTCAAGGAAAACGTGGCGCCGGAAAAAATCGAAAAACCAGTCTTTCTTGGTGTGCCGGCAGCAGCCCCCGGCGCGGCTCGCTTCGATTGGAACAGCACACGCTGCAGATAATGAATTCCTCCTCCAGGCCGTTCGCTGGAGCCGAAGGGCCGACGCCGGCGGAGCCGAGGGCGGAGGCTTGACCGGCAGACTGATGGCGAGGGTCGCTTCTGTCTCTCTCGCACCTATGCGCGACGCCCCGCGAGTGCGAGAGAGACAGAGCGAGGAAAGCGATTCCCGGAATCAGCCTGCGGGCCGCCGCCGTCATCCCGACACAGCCCTCGGGCTGAATTAAAAGAGAGAAAGAGGAAAACGGGCGATCGGTAAAGCAGGCAAAGGGACGCGGATCGGACGGGACAGTCCGGGGCAAAAACAAGTCCGTCGTACTGGCCCTGCTGGCCCTGGGCCGCCCTGGGCCGAAGCGGCAATCGGGTTAGGTTCGAGTGGGTCTTTCGTCGCCCTTCTGTCTCTCTCGCACTTTAGGGACTGCCGTAGGTCAGCTCGCTGCGCTGTACAGGGACATGCCATTGTAGGGTGCGCTTGCTGAGGCTCGTTGGCGATTCGGTTTCGCGTGCAGCGCACTGAAAGGGCGAAACCACCCTGCCCGTGTGCGCGTTTGCTCTCCCCCACCCAGTGCACAGTGTGGGCCAAAGCTCTCGACGCGTTTTGAGCTCTAGAGTCGCTAAACAGGACTCAAACCGACCGTGTGACCCCACCAATGGATTCCTCGTTCAGAGAGCAATCCAAAGGTGGGGTCACACGTTCGGTTCGAGTCCTGTTGAGCGACTCTGGAGCTCAACGCGTCCGGGATTTCGACCGCCTCCACCGGTCTTCTGGCCCACTGTGCAGTGGCCTCACCCTCCGTCTCTGCCCGCAGGCTGCATCATCTTCGGCTCGGACCAGGAGGTGGCGGGCGTGATGCGCGCCGTGCGGCGTGCCGGCGCCTCGGACACCTTCTCCTGGATCGGCTCGGACGGCTGGTCGGCGCGCGCCCTCGTCTCGGACGGCAACGAGCGCGAGGTGGAGGGCACACTGTCCGTGCAGCCGCAGGCCCACCCCGTCAAGGGCTTCGAGGAGTACTTCCTCAACCTCTCGCCGGACAACAACAAGCGCAACCCGTGGTTCGTGGGTGAGTCTGTCCGCCGCAATGAGCGTCTGGCTGCCGGCCGTTTCGTGATTGGGGTTTCACCGCCGGCTCGTCTGGGCGCCACACTGTATACATCGCTGGCGGCGGCGCGGCCCCTCCTCCCCCACCCCCGTCTCCTCGATGTGTCGCAACTGAAACGCGGCAGCGAGGCAGCTTCCAGAAGAGGAAATTCGCAGCGCTTTACCCCTCCCCCCCCTCTCCCTCATCGACGTCCCGGCGTCCCGGCGCGGAGGGCGCCGCTGGAGCTCGCCGTCGGGAGCAACGCGCCGGCCCGGCGGCAAAGCGGCCAAAGCGGCCAAAGCGGGCTGGGCGTCTTTGGGCGCGCCGTTGTGCCGTTGTGTCCCAGGGCCGCCGTTGTATGCAGGAGACGCCCGGGACGGCGTCCGCGCCACGCGCCTGGTTGCCATGCAGCGTGGGAGCCCCGCCGTATTTCAAGCAGCGACGCGGGCCGCCGCCGCCACCCCGGCCACGGGCACCGGAGTACCCTTCTGGAGCCTGCTGGGACACGCCACTTTAATAAAGTGTGCGAGGGGGAGGGGTGCCGTGTCGCCGCAGGTACTTTGCGCCGTGACCCGAGAGTGGCGCGCCCCGCCCCGCCCCGCCCCGCGTCGGGTGACAGCTGAGGTGAGGGCGATCACTTTGCCACACTAAAGCGGCAAACGACCGCGGGGCGGTTAAAACTTTAACGACTTTGTTGGTGCACTGCGACTTGGCCGTCGTGCTGCCGGCCGGCGGACCCAAGGCGGGCCCAAGGCGAGCACGTCACCGTCGAGGCCTGCCTCGCTGTGCCTCGCTGTGCCTCGCTGTCTTGTTCACGGCGCCGCGCTCGTCAGTCTCGTCAGCGCGCGCCAAGTTTGAATCGGCTTTGGATCGGCTAAGCCCTTTGTTGGTCTCGCTGTCGATGCCGGCGGCGCGGGCGCGGTGACTGGAAGCTGCACCGCCAGCAGCCAGTCGCTTTCGTCGCTCGGTCTCTGTCGCACCCGTGCGGCGCGCCCCATGAGTGCGAGAGAGACAGAGAGGAACGCGAGTCTCGGAATGAGCCTGCAGGCGAGCACGAGGGCGGCGTCGGCGGCGCGGAAAGGGTGGGTGGCGCCGGTGGCGGTGACGTACGCCGACGGTTACTCCGCTCGCCTCATTTGCCATGCCGCCATCATTGCGAGGGCCTTTTCAAACTCAGTGGCCGCCATCACCGGGGCCGGCGGGGCGGGGCGGGGCCGGCCAGGACGGGGACGCCACATTGATTCAATCGTGCACGGCGGACACGAGCAAGGCCTCGTCGGCGTCCCCGTCCCCGCCCTCTGCTGCGGCAGCGTGGCAGTGTGCCGGCCCCCTCATCGGGTATGCGCCACGGCGAGGCGGCGGAGCCCCTCCTCAATCTATACCTTCTTTTTCCCGGGCAAAATTATGCGGAACCAGTTCTCGGGCCTCGGATTATTGCTCATCAATTTTTTGCACCTTTTTCTCTTTGTTTGAAAATCTCCTTTCTACTTTTTTTCAGAATTCTGGGAGGACCATTTCCACTGCCGATTCCCCAACTCGTCGCTGACGCCGTACAACGGCCACTACAACCGCTCGTGCTCGGCCAAGGAGAAGCTCACGCGGGAGAACACCGTCTTCGAGAACCAGCTGCAGTTCGTCAGCGACGCCGTCATGGCGTTCGCGCACGCGCTCAAGTAGGTCGTCAAGCAGGGGGCAAGCCGCCGGCCGGTCTTGGCGCGGAGCAGCGCGGAGCAGCGCGTAGCGCCTGATATGTGGGCCGCACGGCGACTCCGCTGCGCGCCGGGCCTGCCTACCCGCCGGGCGCTCCGCTGCCTACACTGAACCTAGCCTTATCTGACCATTCCTGTTCTGTTTCCAGCGAGATGCACAAGCAGCTGTGCTCCGGGCGGGGACTGTGCGACGCCATGAAACCCATCGACGGCTCCAGGCTGCTCAGGTCGCTGCGCAGGGTCAACTTCACAGGTGAGGCGGGACGCGGGAGTGGTGGTACCAGGTACCGCAGGCACCGCGCGGCGGGGACCGCGGGGGGCCGGCAAGGACGAACAAGGACCGCCGGCTGAATGGGGCCCTAGTTCGGGGCGGGCGCAGCGCGCAGCGGGATTAAATCCTGCCGGAGACAAACGGTCCGCAACACGCCAAGGCATCAGGCGGCCGGGGGAGGGGAGGGCTTTGATTCGAGCGGGGGGTGGGGCGGGGCAGAGATGATGCAGGCCGCGCGGGGTGGGGTGGGGCGGGGCGCTGCAGCCGATTTGGCACGTGACTCGCGGGTACGTGTAAGGCCTAGGCCGAGGCCTCGGCTCTCCCACGGCCTCGCTCGCCTGCTGCAGGATGCGCGGCAAATGATGAAGATCCCCTCCGCGACCAGGCCGTGCCCCGGCCTGGCGGGCCCTGGCCCGGCGCAGAGCTGCCCGATGCGACGCAGCCCGATGGCGACGGAAATTGGGCCAATAACGAAGGCCGCAACTATCCTCCCCCCCTCCCCCCCGCTACCTCTTCCTGCTGGCACTGCTGGTTGACGAGCGGGCCACGTGGCGGTGGTGCGGCGGGTACGGCGTCGGCCTTTCGCCCAGTGACTGCCATTACAGCTCCCGCTGCATCCGTCGCACAGTGGGCCAGAAGACCGGTGGAGGCGGTCAAAATTCTATCCGCGTTTCGAGCTCCATAGTCGCTAAATGGGACTCAGACCGAACGTTGTGACCACACCAATGAATTGCTCTGCGAACGAGGAATCCATTGGTGGGGTCACACGTTCGGTTCGAGTCCTCTTTAGCGACTCTGGAGCTAAAAACGCGTCTAGAATTTGAGCAGCCTCGGCCAGTCTTCTGGCCCACTGCGCGTCGCCGCAGACCTACCCTCCCAAAATAAATAATATTGATGGTTTTGGAAAAATTTTGTCTGTGAGAAAAGAGACGCGACGGTGGCGGCTTCGGTGCGCGGCGATGGCGTCGTCCGATACGGCCAACACGCCAAGGCGGCACGGCGGCCTGGCGCCTCGCCTGTACCGGTACAGTCACAGGAAATAGAGGAGCGGCCGAGGGGAGGGGGAGGGGGCGCTCTGACCGTTTGATTTCACACGTGATAGACACGGGTGCGGGAAGTGCCGCCGCTCGGAGGAGAGGAGCGCGAAATACGAAATGGTGGAAGCGAGAAACGAGGGAGAGGGCAGAGTGTGTGCTCCAAAATGAAGGTTTTTCTTTGAATTTTTCAGAGACTTTGGGCAGGGGCTCCCCCAAGATTCCAAAACACTGCAATCCACAGACGGCAGTCGCCTCAGAGTTGCGAACATAAACACCCGTGGCTCACTCTCTATGTCAATCAGGATACAGGACAATCCAAAGACATTTCAACACAAAATGTATTCAGAGTAACAGAAGTAAAATCAACACTGTAAAGAAAATTTCAGCGAAAGAGGGCACCCCGGCGAACCGGCCCTCTTCCCCGCTGGCTTGGTGAGCCAGTGGTTCCCCCATCTCATCACAGGAGCAACCTCAGAGTTAAACCGCAGTGGCCCCGTCATTGGTCACGTCATCTGTGATGTGGAGGAGTCCTCTCATAGTAGGCCAGGCTGCCACCTTTCCCAGTAGTCGGGTTTCGTTCCCGGCCCCCTTCCCACTCAGGGGCCATGCTACTGGTACTCAGGAGTCTGCGTCACCCTGCCCAGCAGCGGAACCACTGGGCTATGAGAGGCACACTGGACGCCGGCCGATTTTATATACTTGAACCGCCTTCTTGCGATGCAAGCTTGGTCAAAATGTTCGATACTGTACTGGGTATCGAACCCAGGACCCCGCAGTCGGGAACCGACGCCTCTGCGCTCTCGGCCACCACGGCCCATGGGTGAGACTGTGCGAAGGGGAGCCTTTGAAGCCGCTGGTCCGAACCGTATAGTCAGACAAAAAGAGCGGGAAGCTGGTATTCGATCGCTCGATCCGAGAGTGGGAATTCAGACATCTCTACACGTTCGGCCACCGCGGCTCACTGGGTGAGCTGAGTGGCGCAACGGGTCCAAACCGCATCGGGAAAGCCACTCCTAAAATGTAAAGAATTGCTGGGAGTCGAACCCTAGCCCCTGCGCGTGATCATGATTTCCTCGGGATGCCACAGTGTGGAGCCAGGAGTGGGACCTGCGACAAACTCTCTAGAATCAGCGGCGGCTGAGCGCGCAAAGGCGTCGGGCCGCACCTCCAGAGTCTAGGGTTCGACTCCCAGCATTTTTTTACATTTTAGAGTGGCTTTTCCAATGCGGTTTGGACCCCTTGCGCCTATGAATACATTTTGTGTTAAAATGTCTTTGGATTGTCCTGCATCCAGTCTTGATTGACATAGAGAGTGAGCCGCGGGTGTTTAGATCAATTGAGCGCCGCCGAGTTGCTCGTGCGTGTGTCACGAGGGACAGTCTTAATCATAACGCTATACCCGGCGGCCGGGTTCGCCTCCCGTTCACCTGCCCGGGGGCCGGCCGCGCGGCAGCGCCACTGCCGGGCTAATGACTCTGCTTTTGGGATGTAGGTGGTGTACTTTCCAGTGGAGTTTACGAGCCCCTATCTTGCGCACCGCCCCGCTCCGCCCAGATAGGTCGAGTCTGGCCGTGGTGGAGGGTGGAGGGCTCCGCTGTCGCGAGGGCCAAGGGCCGCGGAGGGCCCCGCCAAGGGCCCCGCCAAGGGCCCCGCCAAGGGCCCCGCCAAGGGCGCTGAAAGGGAAGGGGCCCGGAAGGGATGCGAGCCCGCCGCGCCCCGCCGCGCCCCGCCGCGCCCCGCCAGTGTGTCGAATGAATGCCAAGCAGCCACGCGACGCCCCGACCAACTCCCCCGCGGGCCGCGCCATGGCCGCGCACTGCGGACTACGGACGGCGGACTGATTTACGCCGCACCTGATTAGCGGTCCAGCTCCGCGAGGGCCTTCAAGGGGCCGCGCAGCAGCCAGCAGACTGAGAGTCGTTTTCGTCGCTCTGTCTCTCTCGCACCCATTGGGCCTCACCTGTTGGTACGAGAGAGACAGAGCGAACCGCCGCTTAGCGTGCCCTAAATTTAGAATCGGTTGCGACGGAGGCGGGGCGGGGTGGGGGTGAGGCGCCGCCGTGGTGAGCAGCATCGGTTGGTTCTTTTCAATTTTCCATTCCTTATTCCTGTCAGCGACTCGCCCTGCCCTTTCGTTTCTCGCCTTTTCATCCCCGTGCCGTGCCGTGCCGTGCCGGGCCGTGCCGCGCCGCGCCGCGCCTGACTTGGTTGCGATGGCGCCCGGACAGCACCGCCAGCACCGCCACCGCGCGGCACCCCCGCCCCTTGTTTACCACCGCATTAAACAAACAAATCAAGCTGCGAAAAAAAACTGCCCAAAAAGGAAGGGAGTCGACTGGAAAGGCGTCGGCACACTGTTGCCGAGCAATGACCGTGAGGCCGAGCTGCAGCCCAAGGCGGCCAAAGGCGCCCTTGCTTGCTGGGCTGCCTGCCTGCCTGCCAGCTTGCCAGCCCGCCTAGGCAGAGCAGAGTGACAGTGACGACGCTGAAAGCTTTGTGCTGGAGCAAGGTCTTAGGGGGCGGGGCCGGGCGGGGCGCGACACGCAGCAACCAATCCCAATATATAGCTCCATTCTCTCCCCTGTATCACGAACACAGTGGCTCACTCCAAGCCCCGCCACACGCCGCGACGCCCCGCCGTGCCTAAGCCTCCGATTTCACGTTTCACACTCTTCCATCCGCCCCCGCCCCCCGAGCCCCGCGGTGCCGCCGCCCCGCCGCCGAGACGCGGTCGGCGCGGTGAGCCCCCCGATCGCGGTGCCGGGGCTGGAGGCTCCATGGAGGCGCTGGCGCGCTGGCGCCTCGTTCAGGCAGGAAGGTCGTTTCGCCGCCGTCTCTCTCGCACCGCTGCGGACTGCTCCACGAGTGCGAGGGAGGCAGCGATAGGCGAAAGAGGCGCCCGTCAATAAATTAGCGGCCTGGACGGCCGTGATAAATGGCGGCGATGATTCCCGGCCGCGACGAGGACGACGAGGCCGCCGTCAACGCGCTGCAGCAGGCTATGTGCCTCTCTCGCGCGCACCCGCGGGCCGCGAGATAGCGGCTGATCCCGAGACTCGTTATCGTCGCTCTGTCTCTCTCGCACTCGTGGGGCTCCCCGCATAGGTGCGAGAGAGACAGAGCGACGAGAACGACTCTCGGAATCAGTCTGCCGGTGACAATAGGAACGCCGCCGATCGGCGTTCCGATTTGGGGTCGTGCTGGCCGTGGTGAAGGCCCCCGTGACCTTTGCGGCGGCCTTGGCGGGCTTGAGTGCGCGCACGAGTACGTGCAGCATGAAAGCTTTTCGCGGGCTGGCCGGGCTGACCGCGGTGGTGGCGGTCGCCTTGGCGGTCGCGGTGGTTGGGGCGGTCGGGCCTGCCGGCGGCCTCGCTGGCGGCCTGGCTGGCCTCGTCGGGAGTGCGCCACTGTTTGCAAAGCGTGCCCGCAAAAGAGCCACGGCAAAGACGCCGCGGCCGAGGCCGGGCCTCCATAGTCTGCGGCAGCCTGCCCCCCGTGCTAGGCCTGCCTTGCCCTGCCCGCCCGACATAATAAAGTCGAGGCTCCTTTCGGGCATGGCACCGCACCAACAAGCATGGACTCCCTCCCGGACGCGGAGGTGGCTCAAGTACCGTCCGTTGGGTCCACTCCGGCAAACTGGTGCGGCTTCGACCATGCGTCGGCACTGTCTTCAAAGTGCCGTTTGGAGCAAACAGTTTGGTTAGCTTCATAGTTTGGATGGTGATAGAGATGCCTTTCAAACAGGTGAAAATTTTTGTTGATTACTTTAATGACCCCGTTGAAGTAACCCTAATTTCCAGTACGCTGCCAAAAACTTTCTGCCGGTTTTTTTTTTCTTTTCAATGTCCGCCAATGAAGAAATTATTCTCTGATCCCGGTGAGGTGCGTTGTGTGTTTCTAGGTCAGGGGAGGAGTCAGGTTGTCTGCTCCAAACAGACGGCTGGTGATTCATTTCAGAGAGGCAGTGGACCAATCATTTCGCTCGCTGCTCGTCCACGGCAAAGGGAGCCCCGCTTTCGATGCTTTCACTGGCCAATTATTCGGCAGGGAAGTGGCGGGGCCAGGCGGGGCAGGCCGCCCTGACCTTGGCAGCTGAAGCGCTGACGCCACCCTCTTTCTCCCTCTCTGTTGCAGGCCTGAGCGGTGACCAGTTCAAGTTCGACTCCCAGGGCGACGGCCCCGCGCGCTACAACATCATCCACTTCAAGCAGGTGGCGCCCAAGGTGTACCGCTGGGTGCCCGTCGGGGAGTACAGCGAGGGCAACCTGCGCCTCGACATGTCCGGTAATGCTTCTTCTTCTTTCTCTTCCTCCTCTTCTCCTTCCTCTCCGCCCCTCCCTCTTTGTTTTGTCCCCGTCTGTCCCCGTCCCCCGGCGCCTTCCTCCCACCTGGAGCCCGCCCACGTCCGCTGCTAAAAGTTGAATTATTTAGAGGCTTAGCCGATTCATATTTTGCCCCCCACCGCGGCGGCTTCCCTTCCCGGAACCGGGTCGAGGCGGCGACGTCAGCGGCAGGGCCGGGCAGGGCACTGTTGGCGGGGCCGGCAGGTATTAGCAGTAAATAATGCTGATTCCAAAGAGACGCCGAGGAGGTGGTGGCCGCCCTGCTCTGCATTTCAAAACGGCGCCAAATTCAATTTAATTCAAACGTACACGAGTCGCGGTGGCGGCGCGCTGCAGCGGGAGTCTCTGAAAGGCTCGTGCTGCTGCCTTTCCACGCCTTTTATTTCTGGGCTAGTTGCCTCGGAGATGTTCCGAAACTAGTCGAGTTTTATTAGGATCGGAGTGCTTTCGGATTGAAATCCCACCGCCGTCCGCCCGGCGGGCCGCGGCCGGGAGGGGCAGCGCAACTTTCTGCCGCTCCTCACTTCCAAGACACTTCCTTTCTCTGGCCGCCAACTCCGGCCAATGGGCCGCGAGTATCCCCCCCCCCCCCACTTCCCCTCGACGACCGTGTAAAGGGCCCCAGCCTGCTACTGTTGTGTCCTTGAATGGTCCCCGTTCTGATCGCAGCGGTGCAGTTCAAGATGGAGAGCCCCCCGGTGCCCGAGTCCGTGTGCAGTCTGCCGTGTGACCAGGGCCAGGCCAAGAAGTACGTGGAGGGCGATATCTGCTGCTGGCACTGCTTCAACTGCACGCAGTACCAGGTGAGTCCCCTGCGGCCGGAAAAAAAGTGCTGATGCTGCTTTGGCATGTGATTCCGACAATGCCGACGGTTCTTGCGCCAGAGGCGGGCAATTTGGGGGGGGGGAGGCAACAGGCCTTCCGGCGGCTTTGGCGGGACTGCAGACTGATTCCGAGAGTCGTTTTCGTCGCTCTGTCTCCCTCGCACTCGTGGGACGTCCCGCATGGGTGCGAGAGAGACAGAGCGACTCTCGGAATCAGTCTGCTGCCTATCCTGGGGGCGCTTCGGCACTCGAGTCGAGGCCCCAGCTAGCCGCCGGCTGCGGCCGCGCGGTTCGGCAGAACTTGTCTGTCACAAAGACGTGTTGCATCGCCTTGAGCGGCGACTGGCGCGCGCGGATCGTCTCCGCAGTGTTCGGTTTGGCGGTTTGGTTCTCGCGGTGCGGTACGGGGCGGTGCGGGGGCGGCAGAGAGTCGGAGTGGAGGCATGCATGCCTGGCTTGGGCTGCCCGGCTAGTCCCCTACTGCAAACCGCCGGGGACTGGCCGAGACTGGGAGCCACAAAGGCTGGATTGTCCGCTCAAGTTGATGCCGCCGCCGTTCGCTCGCTTTCGTCCCAACCCGAAGCAGGGGAGCAGGGTGGCTGCGGCGGTGCGGGGAGGGAGACGGCGACTTTGAGCGGAAGGCTGATTACGCGCCGCCGTTCCGCATCGCTGCGGCCCGCGTATGCGAACCGCCACGCCACGCTCTGTCTCTCTCGCACTCACGGGGCGTCCCGTGTGGGTGCGAGCGAGACAGAGCGACGGAAACGACTCTCGGAATCCGCGCCCTGCCTTTGCCTAGGCACGTCCGGCCCGGCGGCCCTCGCCAGCCTGCGCCAGCCTGCGCCAGCCTGCGCCAGCCCTCACCTGACGCGTTGCGGCCAAACGGGGGGAAAAATGATGGAGAAGGATAGTGAGCTCGCCTCCAGCCTGGGGCCCACAGGCAGGGCCCCGCGCTGACAGCTCGGCTTGTCGGTCCATTTCTCTCCGCCTCTCTCCCTCGCGCCGTGTAATTCTGCCCGGCAGGAGCGAAAGCCCCGGCCGGCCTGCCCTGCCCTGCCCGGGCCTGGCCTGCCACGCCACGATGAAATGGCCAGTCCGAGCGCGTAGCGGCCGCACCGCCGCACCGCACTGCAAGTTGAAGTTGAAGTTGGACTGACGTGTTTCTGCATGCTGCCGCCGACAGATCCGCGCGCCGCTGGACGAGACGCTGTGCCAGATGTGCCAGATGGGCACGGTGCCGGACGCCAACAAGACCCACTGCCAGGAGATCCCCGAGGTGTTTCTGCGGCCCGACAGCGGCTGGGCCATCGGCGCCATGTCCTTCTCGTCCTGCGGCATCCTGCTCACGCTCTTCGTGGGCGGCGTCTTCCTGCGCCACCACGAGACGCCCGTGGTGCGCGCCGCGGGCCGCGAGCTGTCCTACGTGCTGCTCACGGGCATCATGCTGTGCTACTGCGTCACCTTCGCCCTCGTGCTGCGGCCCACCAACGTGGTGTGCGGCGTGCAGAGGTGAGTGGCGGGGCGACTGCAGCCGAGTGCCAGGTCGTTTCATTTCGTGTTTCTCCTACTGAGCTTCTGTCCGTGCCCTGCCCCAGGTTCGGCGCCGGCTTCTGCTTCACGGTGGTGTACGCCGCGCTGCTCACCAAGACGAACCGCATCGCGCGCATCTTCAAGGCGGGCACGCGCACCGCCAAGAGGCCCTCCTTCATCAGCCCCAAGTCGCAGCTCCTCATCTGCTTCTTCCTCGTCACCGTGCAGGTACCGTGCACTGTGTCCCGCTCGACCTACGCGGATCACTCCGTACTGATTCCGAGATTCGTTTTCGTCGCTCTGCCTCCCTCGCACTCATGGCGCGTCCCCTATAGGTGCGAGAGAGACAGAGCGACGAAAATGAATCTCGGTATCAGTCTGCTGTGTGCATGCCCTACTTGATGCCTCTCTCTGCTTGCGCAGGTCCTGGTGAACGTGGTGTGGATCATGGTGAAGCCCCCCATGGCCATGCACCACCACCCGACTCGCGAGGACAACCACCTGGTCTGCAAGTCGCACATCGACGCCTCCTACATGATCGCCTTCGGCTACCCCATCCTGCTCATCGTGGTGTGCACCATCTACGCGGTGCTCACCAGGAAGATCCCAGAGGCCTTCAGCGAGTCCAAATACATTGGTCAGTCTGGCTAGGGGTGTGAGTGAGCGGAGTCTTGTTCCAAAGTGACAACGATTAACAGTGGTCCGTTGCTGTGTGGCGCAGGCTTCACCATGTACACGACGTGCGTCATCTGGCTGGCCTTCGTGCCGCTGTACTTCGGGACGGGCAACCACGTCCCGCTGCGTATCACCTCCATGTCCGTCACCATCTCGCTGTCCGCCTCCGTCACCCTGGCCTGCCTGTTTTCCCCGAAGGTGCGAGCCAAGGCCTAGTGGACGGTGAACCACGTGACCACGAAGAACAAGTCTAACCCGATCTCTCTGTCTGCTTGGCAGCTGTACATTATCCTGATCCACCCGGAGCGCAACGTGCGCCAGTCCATGATGCCGGCCATGAGGTACTCAACGGTCAAGAGCTCGGCGGCCACGGTGACGGGCAACCACGCCAGCAACTCGCTGCACCCGGGCGTGCACCCGTCCACCTACCTCAACACCATCACGGCCCTGGACCGACACCACTGCCCGCGGGTGGACTGCGGCACGCAGAGTCAAGGTACTTGTGTTGTTGGCTTGCTTTTTGCCGCCTGTCCCACAGTGGAGTTGCAAGTTACAGCTTTCCGGTTCGGCCTGGCTCACGGCAGGCTTTGTGACAGGGCTGCCGCTGGAGGACCGCTCCACGCAGACCAGCCTGCAGAGCCTCTGCCCGCTGCGGGCTGAGACACTGGGCACCTGGGCACCCTGGGCACCCTGGGGCCGGAGGGCTCCGAGGCCGCCAACACGGCGCCGTGCTCGGCGGACGCGCCGTTCCCTTACCCGTACCAGAACGGCGAGGCCGTGGCCGTGTCGCTGCCGGACGGCGCCACGCCCGCCTCGGCCCCGCCGCTCCGCCGCGGCAGCGGCAGCCCCCGCGACCCCGGCGGAGGCCCCATCCTCGGCCCCGTCAACGGCGACGTGCCGCGGTCGGCGTCGCCCTTCTCGCGGACGCGGAGCTACAACAGCGCGCTGCTCAAGTCGCGGCGGCGGACGAGCGGGCCGGCGCCGTGGCAGCAGCCCTCCAACGGCACGCCGCGGCACCGCTCCGACATCCTGCCCGCCCTGGCCACGCTCACGCCCGCCTGCACGTGCGTGTCGGCGTGCGCGTGCGTGTCCGCGTGCGGCGCCACGCCCCGGTCGCCGTGCGCGTCGTCCTTCCCCTCCTCGGTGGCCTCGTCCCCCACGTCCTCGGCGCTGGCGCTGGACGACGTGGACGCGGACGCGCCCCTCTCGGGGCGGCCCTCGTCGCTGGAGGCGGTGGCCGGCTCGCCCGGCACGCCGGGAGACACGCCGGTGGGCACGCCCGTCGGCACGCCCACGTCGCTCACGTCAGCGCCGTCCACTCGCGGTTCTCGCGGCTCCGGAGGCGGCAGCGGGGGCGGCAGCGGCAGCGGGGGTGGGGGCGGGCCGTTGGGTCTGTCGAACCACAGGGTGGCCGCGCAGGCCGCGCAAGGCACCACGCAGGTGTCCTTATGAGACCAGCCGTCCCCGGACTCCACAGACCGGGCCTTGTGTCACGGCGAGTCCTGGGAGTCCTAGGCCAGCGAGGCGTGTCTCACTCTCACTGGAACAGCCAATTCCAGAGTCCTTCTCCAGGACACCAAGTCACTAAGTCTTAGCTGTCGAAGAGTTGTGTCAAGTGCGGGATACGGACTGAGGCAACCACAATACCCCAGAACTGCTCCAATTTGAGGCGGTGCATCAGAAACTGATGTAAATACGTAGAAACAAAAACACTTGACCAAACATGTTCCTGAATGGAAAATGTGCCAACATATTGGACGGAGGAAGAGTTTTTAAGCTGCACGGTACCTTCATTTCAAATGTGTCTTTATAAGATTATTTCTAGGCACTATGTGATATGGAATAATGTATTGTCTTAGCCAGCTTTTCATCTTGCAAGGAAGAGGCATCATGGCTTTTCTTGATTGGGCTTACCATGGCATTGAAGATGAGCACACAACTAGCATTTGAATATGTGTGACCTGTTTTTATAACTTTGATTATGATTACAATAACTCCATTGTACATGTATCAGCTGCCCATTTAAATTAGAATAGTACCAAAAATATCTTTTGATCAGATGCTATCGTTAATAATTACTTAATGAAGAGTACAAATAAACACAAAAGCATTTGTGTTATCAGGTACATATTTTCATGTACTTCCATGTCTGTGATAGAAATTTTTAGTGTTAAAATATTGTTATTTGACAAATGATATGCCTTAACCTTTATTCATCTTTCTGTAAAGCTCTCCAAGCAGGTTCTGTACGTTTAGAATAATTTGGTTTGTAAAGCTTTGAGATGACCAATACCTCTTTCCCTGACAATATTGGTAGTTGTGAAAAGATGACAACCATGAAGTGGCCTTTTAATCACTGTCAAATTGATTCTATTTGCTACATCAAGGGGATTGGGTGAAGCAAACATATCATTCAAGAGATCAAGTAAGTAGAAACGAATAAGGAGCTAACAAATTGATGACCTCCACGTCTTCCTGTTGTTTTAATTTCAAACGATTGTTGAGGGTACGGGCCGCGGGGTTGCCCTGCGGGTTGCGACGTACTGAGCCCCGCCGCTTCCCGCCATTGTGGTGACATTGACATTTCTTTCCGTTTACCCCAACAATCATTTTAACACACTATTGTATTCTTGGAATATCAATTTGCGAACTAGGAGATAGTCAGGAATGAACTTTGCTTTGATGGATTAAACAAATTACATTTGTTCTCAATAAATACAGCAATGAAACTTACAATTCATTTATTTACACAGCCAATTTCAACTCCTCACCTCATTAAATAAGTAAAAAAAAATAGTTTGTTTCATATAGTGCGTCAATATTTCCTTTCCCATTTATCTGGGAAATCACCATCTTGTTTCGCCGGCCTCGTAACGGTGGGGTACTTTTTATCTAGGGACTTCTCCCCTGCAAAAGTAAAAAGAGACACGGTTAAAATGAACAAGGCCCCAAAAGGTCGAAAATGGACACTCATAGAAAACATAACCTACTTACTGTATGCCAACATGTTCATCCAAAAGAGCGAGCCACCGAGAAGAGTGACGGCTGCAGCTATCCTAACACCAAGACCAGCCTGACCACCAGCCTGCATAAGGAAAACGTTGCTAAACAGCCGGTTGGGGTCGAAAATGGCAGTGTGAACCTTAACAAACGCTTGCACAACACGGAACGGAACGACAGAGCCGCTAGCAGACGACGCGATAGCTGATGAGAAATTGAGCATCCAAAAGAGGGCGTACTGGAGCTGACAAAGTTGCCTACCTGTCCGGCGCCGGCTGCTTGGACTCTAATGCCGTTCTCTCGCGGTGGCAGTGTGGGTCGCCGTTTTGACTAGTCTGTGAGCATTATTGCTCTCAAGTGTGTAGTTGGTTCATTCGCGGTCGGCCCTTTCCGTCCTGTACAGAGAGGGTCCCTAGATTTCGCTCCAGGGAGTGCAGCGGGAGAACTCGCATGTGAAGCGAGCGCCTGACAGCCTTTGTTTCTGCGTTCAGCTGGAGCCCGTCACCGTAAGGACCGTAAGGGGGCGCTGCAGGAGTTGTGCTCCCGGTCGCTCTCAATTCTCACTCTTGTATTTGCTCGCGACGAACTTGAAAAGGGCTCTCTAAGTTCAACAACTTCAGAGGTCCCCGAAAACCACCAGATGGTGCTCAGGTGCTACAAATTGCAGAAGTGAACTGTGCCTCATTCGGCACCTGAAAACAGATTCTGACAGACTAGTCAAAGCGGCGAGAGAGACTGTCCGCGTCCGCGCGAGAGAACGTTCGGGCCGAGCATCTAAACCACAGTGCCACTCTGAGTATGTGATCGCACGGTCCAGCCGCACGGTTTGGATGGCAGTAAGATATCGGGAGACCTAAAATGTCTCTGTGCCGCGTCTAGGGTTGTTCTTGTCTCTTCATCCCACCTTTGGTACAGCGGGAAATACAAGAAATGTCACTTGAGTGATGTGGAAATGGGAAGCACGAGGTGTAATAATGTAAACTTTAAAATGTTTCAAGTTCAATTTAAATACATTTAATAAAATTTAAACATTGAAATGCCCTTTATACAAAATTATAGAAGTGATTATGAACATTTCATACCAAATGGATGACAAAAACTCAGTACTACTAATGAACTGTTACAAAAATGTTTGCTCCTTTGCTTAGTGTTAAAATCAATAAAATCTCGAGTAGATTACATGAACCAAACATTTGAAAAATAATTGGAAGATCTCAAAAGATCAAAATAAAAGTACATAGCACAGATTAACTAACAGCTAGTCTGGTGGATAAAAGACATCGTTCATGAAATCTAATAAATTTTATCTTAAGTTCAGCACAAATATTCATCAGTGGAATGAAACAACAAAATGTAGAATTATATTTTATGTACAATATTTACTACATGTTTAACTTCTTTTTTTGACTGATCCCTAAACAAATGCACTTAGTCATGTTTGATACAAATTACGCGATGAACAGGACAACTCTGCGACTATGGTGTATTTAATAAACACTACCAGATTATGGTAAGAGTGGTTCAAATACAAAACATTTGTAGTTACTGGGTACTACATTAGCTCAGAACTCCAAAATGACCTACAAAATTTAGAAGGTACAATGTCTGATATATGCAATCAAGGAAGAAAAAAAAAAAAGTTCATCTAAAAATTGTCACTCTGTGTCCCCATAAGGTAAGATAGTTCCTTATTGCTTAACTTGCAAGATACGAAATTTTCAAAGCTGATTAAATTCACTAGGATAATGAATAAGCTGAATTGCTGGCATTATGTGAGCTAAGCAAGTCAGAAAAACTATTAACAATACAGGCAGATTCTCAGGAAGACAAATTCATGAATAAAACAAAACAAAAACCAAGTTCAGTTGATGATTGTGGTATCTCACAAAGTCTGAAAGAATAGTACAGAGCAAGATCATTTAGAACTTGCAAAATTTAAAATAAGAGTGGAAGATATGTTCTTCCACTCTAACAAATAGTTTATCTAAGTTCTAACTCTAATATATGAGAAGAGTGTCACATTTCGATCTCTGAAGAGCACAAATTCATAAAACTATTTACATTTGTCAACATTCTAATCTAGTTGACAAGCTCTTAGAGCCAAAACACCTATTTGGCTTTACGCTTGCAATATTTTTTTATTTTTATTTTTTACACTACATCACTGCTGAATTTCTTAAAACCATATAATACAGGGTAACTTGACTTGAATTTGGTCCCAGCTCTGCCTTAACAACATCCTGGGCTCCTCATCAAGGAAAGGGGTAGGGGGAAAATAATGAAAACCTAGGATTTTAATCAAATTGCCTAAACTAAAGTTTAAGTTCAATTTTTTTTTGAAATCACTTCGATGGGAATATATTAACAGTGCCCCACAGGACCATTTCATTCTGTCATAAGCTTTAATAAATACACGACAATAAGAGAAAATAATAATCAAAATAAAAAAAAAAACAAAATTAAGAAAGACACCAACAAAATTTGACACACACGCCCAATCTGCTGAAAATCCAGTCTAAATTTGCTTAAGCTACTCTTAAATATTATACCTTGTTTGCTCGCTTGCTGGCACGTGACTTCAAATGAGCGGCCCGACGAACCTTAGTTGCAATGGCAAACTGACCAGCACTGCTGGATTTTCTTTTTGTAGCAACTCTAGCTGGTTGTGATGTTTCAGGAGAAGTTGAGGTAGCTGAAGATGTTGGTGCTGAAGTAGTTGTGCTTGGAGGGGTGGCTGTGGAACCACTTGATCCTGGCAGTTGCAAGTCTGGGCAGGTCCCCAGGATAGAACCTTGCCCTGTAGGCAAGCTGAGTACAGGACGTCCAAGACAGCATGCTTCTTCAACACCACACAATCCATGGAATGGATCAACTAAAAAAAAGGAATATTTTTATCAGTAATGACCAAAAGATGAAAATATTTACAAGATTTTCTTGTTTTGCTTGCTTACCCCCATCTACAGGAGCAGGGGATGCCAATAAGCCTTCAAGGACACCTTGATTTGCCAGAGCCTTCATGTCATCTCCAGGCACAACAGGAATGGCAGTGCCACAATTCTGGCACAGAGGGGGGTTGGCTGGGGCCTTTGAGCGCCAAAATTGAAGTTCAGTTTTGCACTTGTTCAGTTCCTGCACAGAAAACATATTAAGTTGAAACACACCAACAAAAAAAAAAGCAAGCACAAGGGGAAATATTGCTTCTAGTAGGATGTTTTACCTGAAGCAAAGTGCTGAATTTCCGAGAGGTCTCTTCACTTTTTTTGTCATTTTCGTCCAGACGTGTGGCATAATCCAACAGTAATTTCTGTTGTTCGCCCATCTTACTTTTGCAAGTCCGTATTTCCCTCTTCAGAGCTCCTAGCTGATTGTTGTACCTAGTGAGCAAAGAAAATACAATCATTAGAAAAATTGTCCATTATAAGTTATCCAAGTATAAATAGTTATAAAAAATGCATGGAAAATATATGGGTACCTCTTCATTCCTTGCTTAATTTTACGAATCCTTTTCCTCAAGACCATGTTGGACTGAGGCACGGGTTCTAGAAGGTTATCCATTTCTGGAGAGGGCACCATTGAGTAAGGTACCAACGCATTATCATCTTTACCTGAAAATAAAAGATTGGAAAATGCAATCACTATTCAAAAACTAATACTACAGGTAAAATAAACAACACTAACAGAATTGAGAAGTTTTGGGGCTGATGTATGCTGCTCAAGTACTTACGTGAAAAAGAGCCAGAAGAGAAGTCCAAAAAATCAGTACCAAAACAGGAAATCTCAGGAAGAGTTGGTTCAATATGCTCTTTAAAATATTCCATTGCCATAGTCGACAGATCAAATAGTTCATCTGTGACCTTGTATGGGCGTGACAATTTAGGTGTGTTTTTCAAGTAATGTAAAATGCGAAAGACTTCATCCAAAATCTGAAAAAACAAAAAAACATTCAAAAAATTAGTAACAGCATGATTTGTATAAGATACTGTGATGTTACCACCATAACAAAGCAAAAAGGTAAAGCTCTCACCTCTCCAGCAAAGAAACAACAGTGCTTCCTTTCAATATGCTTCCCAAAGGTCATCTGCAATAGAGTGAGTCTCATGTGCAGTGTTTCCACAATATCCGACTCAAGTGCAAGAGGGTGGTGTCGCCGGGCGGACTCGCGCCGGGGCATTTTCGCTCTGATGGCTTGAAATCGGTTCAGCATCATGTTTTGAAGACGATGGAAAGTTGAATTCAGGATGTTGCAGCACACAGCATCCATCTGCTTGCATACCTAAAATTGACAGTGAAAGTTTGATGTAGCTTAAGGCAACAGTCTTCAAGATAAGCAAGTTAACAGAAGGATATACATACCAGTCTCAGCTGAGCAACAGAATGGTACCCCACGTATGAAAATATTTTCTCGAGGATTTCAGGGGGCATATCCAGCAGGTTCAGAGGTTCGACAATGACCGAACTTGCACTGCTGACACCACTACTGCTTGCAGAGCTGCACAGGCTCTGGACACTCCCTATGCTACTAATACTGCCAGTGCCACTCCCACTAGCTTGGGAGAGGCTACTTAGACTCAAGGCATTTAGCCCATCATAGGCACAAGCAGAGCCTGTTGACCGGCTTCTGGACCATGATAAGTTTGAGGTACTTGCTTCATTGTTTTCTCCTCCACTCCCATTACAAGACTGTCTTGTTGAGACCATTGCATGAACTGGTACAGGTCACCTGCAGACATAAGAGTTGACACAATACTCGATGAGCAATCATAAATATCAAAGAACAAAATAACCTCAGGACTACAACTGATAAGCAGTCTCAAACAATGAAAAAGGGAAGAAGTGCGTGAGAAAGATAGAAAAAAAATCTTTAAAAAAAGACAATATATGTGACTTTGGCTCAAACTAAAATTATACACACGAAAACATTATCATCTTAAGTAGTACGAAAATTGGATTCTAAGTTAATATTGACCTATATCTTACAATAAATAGGGCTCAGCTTAAAATAGAGAAATTACTCAAGAAGTATTGGGAAAAGTGAGGCAGGCCCTTTCTCCAACCTTGCTTGCATATTTCTCAACATGCTTGAAAATGCTATCATTATGGGCCATTTAAGAAACAGCAAATATTTCACTACATTTCTAAGACACAAACAAGAGGAAAAAAATCTTTTTAAAACACAACAAAAAAACAACAGAAAATTCAGAGAAAATTTGCAGTTAGTGTTAAGGTCCCAATGAATAAGTAACTTTGTCAACAAATTTCAATAAAAAGTGGACCAAACTGTTAAGGCTGCAGTTAATGGTGAAGATTCGTGTGAATACGACAGTAAAAATTCTGCCCAATCGAAACTTGAGAGGGGAAAACTGTAACCTACATTTACGAAATTTGGCCCGAACGGACGAGGCCTCGTCGGGAACGCATGCAACGCATGGCGTCCACGAATGAGTCCTTCAAGCCACGTTCTACTTCCTACACGACGACAAATTTCAGAAGCTTGGGACGTGGTTGTATGAGCGACACGGCAAAATGCGACCAAAGTGAGGATCTCAGTTCGTTTTGCCAAAGAGAAAATTGGGCCAGAGTGATGGCTTTCCTTACCCTGCACGTCAGTAAACTGCACCCGACATTAACGCCACATCATAGAATTTAAAAGAAGACGAAAAACGGGGAGAGGCACACAACAGATCCAATTGTGCACCACTAAATACAATAAGGGAACTCAGTGGAGGAATTCCCAAGATGTAGAGGAACAACTAGACCAAAAATCTGGATACTGGTTCTCGTTCTCAACATCGCATCCTACACTGGCGCCACCATCCGCGTAGCGGCCAAGAATCGAACTACTCGACTTGTCAACGTTGGTCGTTTATGATGTGCCTTTCATTAGAGAAAACGAATTACGACAAAATACTCTCAAAATTAAACTAGCACGTTGTGGGCAAGGTTGGGAAACAAAGACAATCCGCCTCCAGAGGCACGCGTATATTCCAACACACACTAACCTCAAAGGGACAGGTCGCTTCCTTATCTGGATGTCCTTGTCCCTAGCAGACCTATTTGATAGGCGTCCTTTCACAAACACCCGCAGTCCTTAGATAACCAGGGCTTCACCACTTTGCATAGAAAGTCGCGTTCTACTCACGGTAATTTTATCAACACAACTTACCAATGTTTTAAAAATTATAAGCGCTGCGAACCAGTGACGCTGCAGTTCGGACGGTTCCAAAGTTCCCCAGTTTTTTAAATCGTTTACTAAATAAAACCGTGCAAACTACTCAAATAAATGAAAATTTTGATAGAAAACCTGCTGATTTCTTAACGAAACGAACTTCACTTTGAGCGCTGACAATCTAAATTGTTGAGAAAAATATTTTGAGAACTAACACTCTACGATACTCACTGCGTTTGTTGAGCAGGGTCCCTGTGAAGTGAAAGTCACTAAAAATAAATGTATATGGGAGAATGTTGCCAGAATTGTCATGAAAATCCACCCGATAGTGGTTAAAACTTGTAAAGCAATTTACTTAGACGAAACAGACTCAGGTGCGAACGAATATTACGAAATTATGCAATAACCGTCCTAAAATTCACGACTTCACGCGCATGATGCAGAGCAGGAACGAGGGATGCTCGTCAACAAGCCTAATCTGATCATTCAATACATTCTTTTCGGAACACGTTCAGTTTGAACAAAATCTAATATTTGGGTTAAAAATCTAGGATTGGATTTGGTACAATAAAACTAAGAAAACAAATACGGCAGGCGCTCTCCATCCGACGTCGATCCGCTCGGTCGGACGTCGGTCGCAGAGAGAAGGAGAGAGATGGCGCTATGCACGAAGTCGCACTCGAACGGCTCGCAACTGTGCTTCAGGTCCACAACGCTCCTCAAATGTTGAGTTATTTCGCGGATCATGCTGTTAAATGAACAGAGGAGACAGTACTTATTCAAAATGGGAGCATATCTGGGGGTTGTTGGTGTCTGAACTGCAACAAAGCTTCTGTCACACCAATTTCATTATTTGAATTTTCGCGCTAGTAGCCGCCATTGTCGTGGAGTTTGTAGAAGGCGGGGTGCTTCCGACGGAACATAACCTAAAACCACAGCCGTCAAATGGAAGTCATTAAGCAAGTGTCTAACTGACGCTGTTAAAACACCGGCTTTTTCTAGAAATTTGCCCAACTTTCCACATTTGTCATTATTGTGAGAGCAGTGAGAGTAACAATGAGTGAACTCGTGTGGGGAATTAAGAACGGCGACATGGACCAGGTGAAGGAGATTGTTGAGAAGAAGGTAGGTGCAGACAAAAGCATAAACAGACGTCTTCTGATGCTACGGATCAGCAATCATTCGAAGTAGACCGTGGTATTTTATTTGCTTGGGGGCGTTAGATTCTGCTTTGCTCACATATTTTTAAACCATGCTTTCCACTTGTTCTGAAAACGCTTTAATTACCTAAGACTTTGTCTCTTTGCTTATAGTTTGTACCTGTAAAGGATCACATTACATTTTTATTGCAGGAGATTGATGTGAACAAGGATATTGACGGCAGAGCTCCAATTCATTATGCTGCTGATTATGGGCAAGAAGATGTGATAAGGTATCTTGTTTCGAAGGGAGCTGATGTTAACGTAAGTTAGTTCAGTAGTAAGTTATTTAGGACGTCAAAGACTCTGATTTGTAGTTTGTTAATGATCTTGTTTTGTTTTGATCTCTGCCTCAGGCCAAAGATAAACATGGGATTACTGTCTTGTTGGCTGCAGTCTGGGAGGGGCACACCAGTTGTGTCAAACTGCTGCTGGCAGAAGTAAGTGATTTTTACGACTTCATCATCTTCTACTTTTATGTATTTCAATTTTTTTCTCATCTCATCAGGGAGCATCTAAAGAAGGAACAACACCTGATGGAACCCCATACTATAATGCTGCAGAAAAGGAAGAGATTAAACAACTCTTAAAATGACAAGAAGGAGGGGACTAAAATATAATCATCTACTTTTCAAACAGGAATGAAAAGAAAAAAAAAACAATGGAGAAAAAAAATCTAATTTATGATGTAACCCTAGCTTTGTGTGTCTGATAGTGTGCCAAGCCAGAAGCATTGTGATATTCTTTCAAAACTTTAAATGGATCTTAACTTTGAGTATCTTACTAATGGTATGGATATGTCAGCAGCTCTGCCGTAATGCAGAATTCATGCAAATTGTATAACATAAAATAAAACACTTAGACCATAGATCTTACAGTTCGTACTTTAAAATTATATTATTTCATAGTTTTGCCTGATTCATAAGTGAAAATTTTTTTTGCTCGGTGCAAATCTGCAAGTATTTGAAAAGGCTTGTTTTGCACATCTCTAAAAGGTTCTTTCCTTAATTTTTTAAATGTCATTTTAAAACTGATGTTTGACAGTTTTATTACTGGTGGGAGTTGTGTATGCCCATGCCCAGTCTGGTTCTGGTTGGCGATGAGTTTTTCTTGTGTTCAAGAGCATTTAAATTATTATGCTCGTCAGTCATTTTACTTCCTTCAATTTTTTGATGAAAGCATTTGGCTCATCATTTCTCTCCTTGGTCTAAAAATAAAAATAAATGCTCAAATTGTTAAAGTTTAAGCCAGGAACTTACACCAACTATTTTCTGCTTCTTGATTAGGCATCTTAGTCATTTCTGTAATTGTCAGTTTTATTTGTAATGGCTTCTCCACTTTTTTTTCTTTTACTTACATGTAGTTCATGTATTTATTTTAATTTTATTATTCTAGTAGTTATGTTTCGTAGCATGTGGCACGTTTTGATATTTAGACATAATCATTAAAGTTACTAGTTGTTGGCACTCAATTATTATCACTCATTGGTGTCATGAACTGCAGTTTTCTTTTATTCACATTTTCTACAGTAAACTCAGTATCCTTAGGCTGGCACTAGTAGTGGTAAGGAGGACTGATGTATGATTATGCTTTGTTCTTTCTATTTATCCTATGAACTAATTTTGAAATGGTAAAGGGTAGATGTTTGTAATGAAGATTTACAGTATTAAGTTCTTGTGCAGATAGGATCAAGATCGGCATGTGCAAATTACCTAGGTAAGGTAGCTTTGCAATTTGTGAGGTGAAGAGGGAGAAGAAGTATTTTAAAGCACATGAGAATAGTTTGTGACACTATTTTTTTACCCACTTAGTAAAATTTGTAATAGCAATATTGACTCAGTCTCAAACTTATCAGTAACGTTTTAGCAAGACACAGTTGTTGCATAAGATTCATAAAGCTCTTTGATACTGACATAAGTTTGTATGTCGAGTGAGACGTGATAAAAGTGAATCACTGAGTAATGTGTCTGATCATGCTTTAGGCCAAAGTTTATAATTTAAAAAAGTAACAATAAATGGTTCATACTTTAAGCAATATAAATTGTAGCAATGGTATAGATGGAATTCCATTTACTGAATTGCTATTGCAACAGTTTGCACCAGCAATATCCTTCACTAGATTTGCAAATTAAGGTTTAATTGTGATAACAGTTTGACTATTATGTGAACTAAAAGATGTATTCCATTAAAAAAATGAAATTGTCTGGATGGTTTTCTTCCTCACCTTTACCTCGGTTATAAGAAAATTTCAAGAAGAATTTGTTTGTGTTTTGGCTTTGGAAAGAAGCTGGTATTCATTGACCTACTGACACAACTGCTCCCCTCCGCTTTCCCCTTTAACACAAAGTGGGAACACATCAGAATGCGTCTAGACAGCATGCACTGCAATGTCTAGCCCATTCTGCTCTGATGTAAAAATTTGTTTTCCAAGGCCAGTAAAAAGTAATGCTGAATTCTCACTTTGTCTTGTGAAGTAAATGGATCCCCAATTAACATTCTGGCTCACCACTGGCAACCCAGTTGAGCTAAAAAGTTGAAATTCGTTATATAACTCTGTAGGGAGTAGTATTAGTGCTGACAGACATTCAGAAAAAAATTCTTCCCTTGCATCTTGTGGGTTTTAGGTTTACAATTGAGTGGAAAGAGTCAAACAAGACTAAAATAGCCATAATTTATTCTCTTCTTTAAGCAAACATGAAAGGAAAAGTCATCGGATCTGAATTCACTTTCTTTGTTTTTAAATCCGGTTGAATCACAAATAAGTTCATTTTCTTCAGTGCATGAGAGCACAACACTCTTGGGCATCAACATATTATTTACCCATACGCTTACGGTCTTCATTGCGAGGTCTTCCACTTCCCTTTTTTCCCCCTGCCGGAGGTTTGTCCTTTGTTCTATTACTGATAAGGGGATGTATTTCTAGGGAAGAAAATTACAAATAAAGAAATAATAAGAATGGTTAAGAAGCCAACATCGCATTCTCATAATTAGTAAAAAGTCTTACCATCTTTGGAAGCACCATCCAATTTTATTTCATAAGTTTTGTATTTTCTTTTTTTTGCAGAGATTGGTGAATCATTCTCTTTGCTGCGTTGCTTATCACTGTCTTGAGCACCTCCAGCACCACCACCAGGAGCTACAGCACCAGTTGCGGCTCCATCCTCTGGATCTTCTACTTCAGGGGAAATTGGGAGGAACTGAAGTGAAACCATGTCTTCTGTCTCCTCATCTGAGCTACACAGGGCAGCAACTCTGTCTACAGTGGTGACATCAACCTTTTGGGAAAAAATATGAGAATAGAGTAAACTATGAACTCTTCCATGACAAAATAAGATACATTATAAATAATAATAATAACAATAAATAAGTGAAAAATTATTTTTAAACTACCTCTAAATCCTCCTCTTGCTTTTCGGGTCCCATTTCCACTGATTTGTCTTCATCACTTAAATCAAACTCTGATTCTCTTTCTTCATACTCCACATTCTCATCTAATTCCTTAAAGTCAGGTGCAAATGCTGACCAATTTTCAACTTGATTCTGAGCCCAAATAGACACCACTCCACTAGAAATCGAAGCTATAATCGGTCGGACAGGATGCCACTGGAATAAAAATTAACCCATTATTAGATTGCTCAATTGTATGGCTGACTGATAAGCTGCCTCATTAGCTTACCACAACATCAAGCAACATTTCCCCTTTGGTACCATGAAGAATTTTGACAAGGTTTCCGACACTCTTTTCCCAAATATACAAAGCATGTTGACGAGCAGATCCTCCACATATGTACTCTCCATCACCAGAAAAACAGCATTTTTTCCACATCATTCTAGAGGAAGGAGCAAACAACATTTTTCACATGTTCATAGTTCTCTTTGATTTGATTTTAATGACAAATAATTTATTGAGCCTAAGTGTGACAGAGATAGTTCTAGAAGAAGACCCTTACTTGTTCACAAGATCCTGAAGTTTCTGAAGAGGTTCTGGCTCTCCATCCTTACCACATGAAAGTACTTGCTTTGTTTCATAAACTCTGATGACACGATCAGCAGTGTTAACTAAAAATACACTGAAAAGATGAATTAAGTATTGCATTCAATTTTTCACAGCTTTGTATTGAAATTTAAATAAAAATAACTGGTACTGAAAGTTTTTACTCACTCTCCTCGACGTGCAAATTCAATACTTTTGATTGCGGTAGCACTAGTTGTTGCTTGGGTAACTTTAAATGATGCTTTCAGTGTAAGCTCTGGGAGTTGAAAGACTTGCATTCTACCTTTTGAGTTGCCAACATAAAGATACTGACCCCTCCGATCCAATGCAGCAGCAATATTTAGATCCGACTGAAAAATTCCATTCAAGAGCTCTTCAAATGAGAAATAACAATACATAGTGAGCAAAGGCCAAGGATACAAACCTCATCGTCTAAGGGAACAACTTTATGTTCTCCATCAACTTCCACCAATACAGCAGCATGACGCATAGGACACACAAGAAACTGACGGTCGTTTCGAGGATGGAACTGAACCTGAAACAAAAGCATGGGATCAAAAATATCAGTAGTCTGGATAAAAACTGGAGATTAGAAAATATCAACGTTACATCTACCTTCAATATTGGTAAGGGGAATCTATACTTTTGTTCACATTCTCCTGTTAAGACATCCCAAATACAGACATTGTTGTCAGTAGAAGCACTTAGCAGTTTGTGCCCACTTCTAGACCAACTGTAAAATAGTTAAGTGATTAGTGAAGGAAGATTCCTAATGAAAGGAAAGGCCTCAAGAATATGGGGAAGTACCTCAAAGAACAAACAGGATGTACATGGGCACATATTATTTTGGCAATCCCACGTGTCAGGAAGTCCCACACAACTATCCTGCCATCATTACAACCGACAGCAAGGAGGGTGCCTCTCTTGTTAAATTGACATGTTACAGCCAGCGAAATGCAGTCCAAGGTACCATCAAATTCCTGTTTTCCAACAAAAGACAGTATGACATTATGCTCTCCTCACAAAAAGGAAGTGGAAATCAAAGCAAGAGGGAAAGCTCACCTCAGGATAGTTTTGACCAAACGACTCTGGAAAAGGAACAAGTCACAAAAGTTATTAAAGGCATTTGGTAACTTATAATGATTTTACTCATGCTTGGGGCATGAAACAAAAATTCTGACTCAAGGTTCATTCACAATCCATTCATTCAAACTTTACACAAATGACAACAATCGCAAATTGTATATAAACAAAAATGAAAACAAATCTATCTCCATAACCTAGCGAAACTAGACCGGTAAATCGCTGTCACTTCACTCACCTAACAGTTCGAGATTCATTTTGGAAACCAAGCACTATCATTACAATACAAAGAATAAGTGAAAAAGTCAAGGAAGAAGGGACTTAAATGGTCGGGCTCTCAAAATACTAAAAGGTAAACACCGAGTTGGAGCCCTCCGATTTCTCGTCTGCGTTCTGCAGCTGACGCATCGCACGAGGCTAGTTTTTAGTTTCACAAACAACGAGGCCTTGTGCGAGGCTACAACCCCAAAACAAATGACAACGAACTTCGATAGCTCGATTCCGTTGTTTGTTTTTGTTTGGTTTGAATTTGAAACCGCAATTCTAAACGGAGGAACAAACAAAGCAGCGTGCGTGCGTGAGCGTATCTTAACTTGTTCTTAGCACTGTTTATCCTCACGATGTCCGATTTTTCCACACCCAAGCCTAACAGAAGCAGAGTTTCAAAGGTGCCCCAAACTCCTATCAATATTCCACCCTCCCCTTACATGAAAAAGCTAGGATTTGGAACCGGTAAGTGTGAATTTTCTACATTATTGTTTTCAAAATTTGAAAGAAGTTATGTAGATAATTTTTTTTAATTTCTTCATGTTATCTCTGTTGCTCTTGCTCTGTGTTTATTTTTTCTCTTTTCAAATTAGTTTTGGTTTGTTTAGGTGTCAGTGTGTTCCGATGGGATCGTTCTCCTCGTCCAGATGCAGTCCGATCCCCATGGGCCCTGAAGAAGCTCAACAAGAGAGACATGCCTCAGGTGTTTGAACAACGCCTGCAGAAGGAAGCTGAGCTGTTGAAGGGGTTGAAACATCCCAACATTGTTGGCTTTCGTGCTTGCGTCCCTGGCAAAGATGGACGCATGGCTTTGGCAATGGAAAGCTGTGAGTCATCACTCGCAGATCGCATTGAAGATCGAAGAAATGATGAGGCTGGACCCTTTGAATCTGATACGATTCTGAAGGTAGCTCTTGGTGTGGCAAGAGGCCTTGATTACCTGCATCGCCAGAAGAAGTTGTTGCATGGAGACATGAAATCTTATAATATCCTTATCAAAAGTAAATGCTTACTTAATATTAGTTTTGCTTCTTTGGAGTAGCTTTCCTTCTTCATGAACCAATTTGCATTTTTCATTTAGGAGACTTTGAAGAAATAAAAATCTGCGACTTTGGAGTGAGTATGCCGTTGAATGCTGATGGGACTGTTATCGACCCTGACAACTTTGTTGGGACTTCAGTATGGAGTGCACCTGAAACAGCGGGGCTGTGTGATGAACCTGTCTCTTCTAAGGTAGTAGCATTTGACCCTCCTTTGCACTTTGTTATGAGTAGACTGTTCTGTTATTAAAATTTGGTCTCCTCTCAGGTTGATATCTTCGCATTTGGGCTTGTGCTCTGGGAAATGATAGCCCTTGAGATACCCCACACAGATGATCTTGAAGAAAGCAACATGGATATAAGCATCACTGAGGCTGATCTGGAGAACAGAATTGGTTGGTTTGCTAGCAATCCTTCATTTTCTTTTGTTGTGTGAAAAAAAATTTCTATTAGAAGATGTTTATGATGTTTCAGGTACACGCCCAGCTCTTCCTCCTGTGGACCTTGACGATGGATATAACGGAATCATGGAAATTTTTTACTGTTGTACTGAAGAAGACCCCAATTCTCGCCCAAGTGCTGAGATGTTAGTGGAATGGCTAGAAGATCTGACAGGTGAGAATCCGATCAGTATGGATAAAAGCCAGTAATCCTTCAAAAATTTTTCATCAAATCAGTATGGATTCTTTTATATCTTACATGTTAAAGACTTATTGGATGCAGGATCAAATAATTTTATTAATTGGTCCTACTTTATATTGCCAATCCTCTAATCTAATTTCTATTTTATAATTTTAAATCATGTTTAACTATTAAATAACCGTGGATATTATATTTTATTTATTGTTGATAGTGAAACATTTTTTTAGCATATTGCATGTGTGTAGGTTATTGACTAGGGTATATTTTTAAAACAGCCATGTAAAAATCAAGGTTTATTTCCTATTTTGAATGTTGATGTACAAAAATACAAGCTCAAATCTGACCTCTTCTGGATTATTGTTTCTGATAAATGGAATGTGTAGTATAAAGAACCTGCCCTTTACTTTGAGCAGTGGATCATGACTTTAACTGGGTTGCCCTTGCCATGGCGAGCAGTGTCGAAAGCTTCAAGTGACTGATCCAAGTTAAAGTTGTGTGTGATGAACTGCTTTACATTAGCTTTTCCACTGGAGACCATTGCGATTGCTGTAGGGTAGCTGTTTGGTAGAAAGAAAATGCTCTATAAGCTGGTTTCCTCACAAGAAAGAATTTGGCATGTTAATTGTAAATACATAGTGGTTTACATACCAGTTGCGGTACCTAAACACCCCTTTGATGGTGATTTCCCGACTGAGAGCAGCAGTCAGGGGCAGTTTCATGTCAGTGCTGCAGCCCATGCCGACCAGAACAATGATTCCTCCTGGTTTGGTGCTCTTCAAAGAAATAAAGGTGATTAACATGAATAGTTGATAAGGCAGCTGCACAATGAAATTTCTTATATCATTTAGAGAGTGTGCACTTACATTAATTGCCAAACGCATGCTAGCCTCAAAACCAGTGCAGTCCAATGTTGCTCTGGGAAGTTCTCCACCAAAGATACTCTTAATTTGTGCAGTATGATCATCGATTGTTCCCTTTGAAACATCCACTACTGCATCTGCACCAGCTTTCAGAGCAATTTGCATACGGTGTTCCACAATATCTGCATTATTGGAGAAGTAAAATTTAATTACCTAGTTTGTTTCTTTGAAAACCTGATAAATTTCCTACTTTACTGTACTAACCAGTCATGATTACTTTGGTGGCACCCATAGCTTTGGCTGCAAGCAGGCTTACAAGACCGATTGGACCACAGCCTGTAATTAAGACGTTGTCACCAAATTTGATGTTGGCCTGGTTGCAGGCATGGACGCCAACGGATAAGGGTTCCATCATGGCACCCTCTTCAAGAGACATGTTGTCCGGTAATCTAAAGTAAATGTGAGCTTGAATCAAAAGGTTCTTTTGGTATTGATGTCAGCTTTGTGGCTACCCAGAACTTACTTGTGGCAGAAACTGGCATCATGTGTGTAGTATTGGCAGAGATTACCATTATCAGGAGGTGTCGCACAGAAGAATATGTTTGGACACAGGTTGTATTCACCCTTAACACAGAATTCACATCTTCTGCAAGGGACCCCAGGTTCAATAGCAACTCTGTCTCCTGTAAAAAACAACAAGTTTTCAGTATTTTCAATTTTAATATAATATTTGAAGTACCTGATAGTGAAACTTCTTGGAAGACCCAGTTGAACATACCAGGCTTGACATTTTTCACATTTTTGCCAACCTTGGCAACAGTTCCACTGCCCTCATGGCCAATAACCATAGGCTGCTTGACAACGAATCCTGCACAACTGCCGTGTACAAGATAGTGGATGTCAGATCCGCAAATGCCGACACATCCCATTTTCAGAAGTACCTCTGGAAGAGAAATATTACTGTTGGCTTAATAATGTCTCCTAGAATTGGATTTGATGAAATATTCGTAAAAAACAGAAAGAGACTCACCATCGTCTTTGGGCTCCGGAATGGGACGTTGTTCCTAGAAAGAAAAGAATTAATTGTGAATAAAAGTGTTCAGCAGTTTTGCAATTTGAACTGCGGCAGCAAACACTCCGCCACCAGAGCTCTTTCCAAGGGCTTGATGTAACCAGTAGAACGTTGTTGGCTCCAGTAACCCTCTGGTCCACCCCCTCCTCAAGGGTGAAAGAAGGGACATTGTCCTCACCATTCGGAGGTCATCCTTCTTCATCAGCACCGCGGTCAGGTTCTCCGTGTTGGGTGCCATGTCGACGCGTCGTTCCTCGTGGGCTGCCGGTAGTCAACTCGATCGCTCGCCGCTCAAGAGTGAGGAGTGTGGCTCGCCAGCTGGCTGGTTGGTCCCTGTGTTTTGCAGCTCTGGCTGGGCGTGCGGGGCGTGGCGCGGCGTGGCGCGGTCGGTCGGCCCTGCCTGGCCCTGCTGACCCGGCGGCCGTCCTGTGGAGGGGGCGGTGCTGCGCTTGCAGTCTACTTCACAGGCTGATAGTGATTGGAGGCGTGGGGCGCCCCCCATGGCGCCAGATGTGCAAAGGTACTGTAGTTTGCGAGGGCAGCGGGAAGGGGGGAAGTACCAGCATCTACTGTACCACCAGGAAGGTACCGCGGTGCTCTCGCTCCTCTGGGCCCCACGCTGAGGAGCTCCCGGGAAAAACAGTTTTATGCTATATTTTTAACGTTTTTCCCGGCATGTAGAACCCTAGCCGTCGGCAAGTTGGGGTGGCAACGCCACAGCAAGACGGCGAGCTGCTCGGCGCGGTGCTAATTAAGGTGCGTCCCTTTGCGAGGGCACAGCAACAACGGGCTGATTTCGAACCGTGCCTCGTCGCTCTGTCTCTCTCGCACGCTTGCGGAACGCCCCATGCGCGCGACAGAGACAGAGCAACGAAAGCACTCTGTTCGGAGGCAGCCAAGTCTCCGTCGTGCGCATCCCGCGGCATTCGAGCTTGTCAGGCTGTTTGCTGATGAAGGCACTCCAACTCCACTCCACTTCCTGGGCTGTCATTCGTCTAGAGGACATTACATGCCTTATGCGGGTTGTTGCACACCCCTCGGAACGGAATGGGGCTCTTGAAAGTTCCTCAATCAGAAGTTGGTTGCGAATGCGTTGCTTTGCGAGCCACCGCTCTTCTCGAAATCAGACGAGTTCCGCCCGCCCAGTGACGCTTAAATTTATCTGCCTGGTTGAGGCGGCAGCGGCGTTGCGCAAGCAAGACCCGAAAAAGAGAGAACAGTGTAAATACAATCTGCACGAAAAATAACGTGAGCATTGGACAGAGTGGCCGCGCCAGTGCAGCGAACCGATCGCAACGTGCGGTCTGGTCATTCCCTGGCATAGCTACGGTTCTATTTGCAAATTTGAAAATATTTCATGTTTTGTTGTTAACACTGTCTTAACTTGTGGTTTTACGAGTTATGACGCCGGCCTTGAAAATGAGTTGACAAAAGAACTTAGAGTCCTGGTACAAGTGGCCTGACGTGGCCATACGGGCGCTCTGCGGGAGGGAGGGAGATAGAGACTGACTGCCACTGCCGCGGATGATCAACAAGCTTGATACGGTACCTCGCGACCTTGAAACTTGTTTACCTATCAAGTCTGCGGACTCGCACCCGCGCGGCGTTGAAAAACGACAGAGGTCTTTCCATTCCTTGGAATGGCATTCGGGCTTTAGCGCCGTGACGCGTCTGTCAGTTCACTATAGAGTTCTTAAAATATACATGAAATATGTGCGATGTTGGCCTTTCGGTGTGTTTGGTGTTTTCTGCAGGAGCCCGCGTCTTTGCTTCTCTTTCAAGGCCGACGCCACCACAAGCTCTGTCTGTCACAGTCGCCTTGTTGATGTGAGATGGTGGCGTGCCGCCGCCGGGGACGTAGGCATCCCTTTCGACTCGCGTGGTAGGCAACCAGTCTGCCAAGACGCGTCTTTGTGTTGTTTTGATCCTATGGCTCGCCCAAATAGAGATAGAGAGGGCCGATAAGCCGCCAAACGCCGTAGTGTGTGCACACCGTCGGAAACTGTGAATCAGCGCGAATCACCGAATATCCCCAACTCAGCCGGGCAGCCCGGCCCGGCACCGCGCTCTTTCGATGACAAAGGTTTGCCCTGCCGAGATAGAGATTTGTAGTATCTTCGTTCGCGGGGGCAGAAAAGGGGGCAAAACAGTGGCAGTGACAGCCTCGCGCCGATACGGGTTGGATAAGGATGCTCTGCTCTCAAGCTGGTGGCGTTGGAGGCAAGTGGCGCTGACTCGCTGACACATGACCCGCCTAGTGCACTCGACTTGATTGTAGTGCAGGGACCGTCCACAAACTTGTAGGGCGGGGGAAAATAAATCAGAGGAATTGAGGAAACTTTTCAACAAGGATTTATTTTCAACGATCATTTTGAGAACACAAATAAGGTTTGCGTATTGTGCTTCCTAATTAGTGTCAGAAGTATGTTCATGAATTGTAACTGATAGTCAATTTATTTCTAGGCATATTGGCATATATTATTGAAGTCACCTGTCAGACTAGTCTGAGCTACTCTATGTCCTATTTACAGTAGAATATTTTCCTCTCTTTTCCATCAGAACTGTGTTGAGTGGTGATAATTTTGAAGAGTTATAATCATGCTGAATCTCCATAAATTAATTGCTTTAGAGAGTACGTAATAATTTCTTATAATTTTAGTAATTCTCCTCTGTAACATCAATTCCTTAGGACTTTTCTTAAAGGAAGATTGGCAAAATACATGTCACAAATATAATCTCACATTTGCATCTGCACAGTAAAACCTTCATAAACTTACTCAATGCATCTGCAGGGTCCACAAAGATAAAAGAAAGCACAAAATTATGGAGAACCACTGGAATAATTGTAGATGAGAGAAGCAAAAAAGTGCACTGATCATAAACGGTAACTGTATGTTTTGCAAATGCTTGATTATGTAACACACAAATGAACAATCAGTTTTTTAAAAAAATGCTTCATTAAACAAAATTTTTGGAAAAAAAAATAACAACAAAAACACATACATTATTCAAAGCACAATCTTATAATACAGTAGTACACAATGTTTGGCAATTGTTTGGACCATTAATTTTAAGAAGAATGAGCAGTGTGAAGAAACTCAAATGTACGCTGTATTCCTTGGTTGGAGCAGTGCAATAGGTCTGTGCTTCATCAAAGTTTCCTTTCAAAATAAAACAAATTTAGTAGACAACCTTAAACATCAGGATGTGTTCCTAAATTGAATATTTACACATCACAACCTTTCCTCAACAGTATACAGTACAAAACAATCCCATACTCAATAAATCTCATTTTGATTGTACTTCAAGACAATTACCTCTATGTGCACACACCTGTTGACAGTTAGATAAGGGAATGAAGGCCGTTTGAAGTGAACGAAGTTATCACATTAGGTTGTACAACCTCAGATATTTCACAATTAAACACATCTCTTTATTCTAACAAAATAATAATAAAACATAACATCAAGGGTTGATGATTACATGGTAGTGTATTGAATCGGTGACAAAAAGAAAGGAAGAAAACAGCTTTGGGACCAAACGAAGACACAATAGGCCAAACTTACACCCGCAAAATCTTTTCAATCAACAGTAAAGGTTTGAGCTGAGCTTTCTCGACCTAACATATTCCTACACTCCCACAAGATACAAAAAGAGAGCATATAATTTATATGGAAAGAGGCAAGAAAAAGAATCAAACATTTATCACATTATGTTTGTAGAGTATTCACTTAATAGGTATTAATTAGTGTGTGATTCCTTAGGTGATGGACAAAAGATGTCTTGCTTCCCTGAATACGGGTGATGGATGCATCATTCCGCTGGTAAATATCTATCTCACTCTTGAACCACATTCCTTCCAGGTCAGTGTCTTAAGCTTTAACTTTGGCACATCATCCATCAAATTCAATGAGCTCTGAAATAAGTACCAACAATTTTCCTAAACATTTAACATTGATACATTTATCACTGCTTCCTGACATCCTTACTTTAATAAATGTTAGGCCAAAACAAGAAGAAAATTGAAGTGCAGGTTGAGGATAGGTACTCGGTCAATATCAACTGTGTCTCCATAATAAAATTTAAACTTACTGCCAAAGCAGCCAACTTGGATTTTAAGACATCTTCTATTCTCTTACAGATCTTAATCCTCAAATAAAGATAGAGGCATGCATCCTATGTTACCCAAGTTACCTGCTTTGATAGTAAATAAAAACATCATTGCAACTCCACTTTACTGTACCCATTCAACCTTTGGGTTGCTTTCCCCGACTTTTGTTTCCATGCGAGTAAATACCAAAGGAAAAGAAGTTCTTGTTCAAAGCTTTTTCAAGAATATTGAAGTCATCTATTGTACTTTTGATGGTCATAAGCAGGACAAACCAAACACACACATTCCAATGACCTCGGACAAACACAAACATACTCACATTATCTCTAATACTAACACAGTCACTCATTTATTACAATTTACCTTCAAAGGCTGTTGCAAGAGGAAACCTCAAATAAATATTCTTTTTAAAATAGTTTTAAAAAGACTTAATTGTTTTTTGAAATAAAGACAATCTTTACATTAATGTACATTGAATCAATTCAGGCTGAAACCCTACTAAGACTTTGCCTTCATAGTACCATATGTAACATATTGTTGCATTTATAAAATGTCCAGTATACGGACAAGGAAACCAAATGTAGGTACCAAGAACATACCTACTCAAAAATTTCACTTTTCTAAATAAAAAATAGCAAGATGTTTGCTCTTCCAGGTTGTCATTTGCAGATGTTTCCTTTGCTTTAAAGTGATAAAAATGTACATTAGAAGTCTATTCCTGTACATTAATAGTAAATAATTCTAATCTGCGTAGTATGGTAAGGTAAAGATAATTTTGATTTCTGTGATGCACTACAGTACATTGAGAGAGGACCTCACTTCTTTATAAACTTTCAAAAGGAAGAAACAGAATGGGCACAGTATTAAACTTTCACAGAGGTCCCCAAAAATCATCAAAAACAATCCATGGCCCATTTTTAACAAACACAAAAACTAACACTATGCCTCTTTTTTCTCTTGACTATCTATCTTTGTTTGAACTAGTTTAAAAGGAAAATGATGATTCAAAGTACAGGTGGAATGTGATTAATGATTTGATAAATTTTAAAAGGATAAAAATGACAGTAAAATGGACCTGAAATTGTCAGTCACATGCGGCAGTGACTAATTAACTTTTTATAAATCCCATATATGAGCATCTAGAAACACTGCAATATATGTAATTGAACAATTGATAAGGATACCAACCTCAATTAGTCTTTGCAGTTTAAGAAGTCTTAGAACTAAATCAAGGGGGAAATTTGCTCTTGATGATACAGTAGCCCCAGGCAGTGCTTGAAAGAAAGCTCACATCGTCGCTATTTCTTGGATTAATATTCTCGTTAGTAACCAAATTTCAGAGGAATGAAATAAGGATGCCTGAGGAATTGCAAGAACACCCACATTCTCGGTTGACTGAATTTCACGTATGCGCAGCCTAATAATTATTCTAGGAGCTACCCAAAAGGACTTCAAGATACAAAAACTATATTTTGTATGCAGCTGGTTCAACTTAGACAGTCTTAATACTAGAAAAGATTTTTCTTAGATGAGATTACCTAAAGAGGTGTATATGGCTGCAACTTGTTAATATTATGACTAGCAGGATAATGAAAATGTTGAAGTATCATACAATTGATTGTGCCCTAGTAAGAACAACAAAATGCTTGGAAGTTTTGACGGTCACATGATTACAGTTAAAGTCTATCACACAAAGTTATGGCACTAATTATGTGCCACATAAATGATGCATGAAAAAAATTACAGTGAAATTATGATTCAATTTAAACAGACGTACTTCTATAACCTCTAATGCTGATAAATAAATTAAATGTCGGACAACCAGTTTTGATTGAATATAACCCCAGAACCTTTGAGTGAGGGACAAGGTACATAATTTCCTCATGCACAGCAGCTGACATTTGTTCTCCACAAATGATGCCTTGTAAAGGAGTAAAGTAAGGAGGTCAAGCCGTCCAATACAAATGGGTAAACATACTAGCTAAAATAGCCAAAACCCCTTGAGAACCATTGAGTAACTGTGGTAAAATCCACCTATCTTGACAAAGATGAGTTGGATACAAGAAGGTCCACAGAAATTAGGGCTTAAAATATTTACAATTTTACAGAGAGGCAAGTAAAATCACAGGTTTTATTAAAACTTTCCACATACACCTATGCAGCCTTTGGTATAACAAAAATGCTGACAGAAAGGGGGAAAAAAAAAACAAAAAAAAACACTATAGCTAAAATACATTATCATCAAATAACTTAACAATGTCACTTTCCACAGACACACAAGCATATTTCCAAAAAAATAAAAATAACAACCAAATTTTAAAAGCTGAGAATGTCTAGTGAATGACACAGCTTTAAGTTCAAACAAGCAGACTGCTTGTGCCAGTCTGCACCAGGCAGACTACTTTCATTCGTAGGTACGTATAGTACTTGGCAGTGCAGTGTCCTCCTCAATCAAGAGAAGGCACAGAACCATTTCACTAAAACTACTGACTCAAAGACAACATCAAAGCCCACCTGTCTCCAACTGCCCGAAAACACAACTTGCAAAAGGTACACATCTCTTCTTCTCTCTCTTTTCCTCGACAAGTGAATACTTTGACTTACAGAAAATTACATAGAAAGAGAGATCAAAAAGACAGCTTCAGATAAACCTTATCAAAAATTGAAACCCTTTACAACTCCGTGATCGCGTAGCGACTGCGGTGCGTTCCGTAGTAAGCGGTGTCTCCCGAACGATGTACAACCCCATGTTGTTGCAGCGGCTGCTGCTGCTGTTGCTGAAGGTCCCCTGCAGACCGGTGCGTCCCGTACTGCGACTGCGACTGCGTGCCGTAGTGGCCGGCGTGCGCCGCGTGCGCCGGCATGGTGCCGTACGCGTTGCCGGCCGCCTGCCCGTGGCCGTGCGCCGCGCCGTGGCCCGCACCCGCACCGTGGCCAGCGCCGTAGGGCGCGCCGTGGGCAGAGCGGTGCGTGCCGTAGTGGTCGGCCGAGCGGTGCGTGCCGTAGTGCATGCCGTCGGCGTGGCCGTGCGCGGCCCGGTGCGTGCCGTAGTGCATGTCGGCGGACCGGTGCGTGCCGTAGTGGTCCACGTGGCGCTGGCCCTGGCCGTGCTGGGCCTGGCCGTCGTAATGGCCAGTGGAGCGCAGCGTGCCGTATTGGTCCATGGAGCGGTGCGTGCCGTAGTGCGCGTGCGCGGCCGCGTGCTCCTGCTTGGACGCCGAGGACGCCAAGGAGGGCATGTCGCGGCCGTCGCGGCCCGCGTACGCCAAGGCCGGCCCCACGGGGTCGTCGGCGGCGCTGGGCAGTGGGCCCGAGCCGGCGGACGGCGCCTGGTGGGCCTGGTGGGCCTGGCCCTGGCCGGGCGTCGTGGCGCCCAGGGGGGCCGCGTTGCCCCGCGAGGCGCGCTCGCGCTGCTCCGACGCGGTGGACACGAAGCTCACCGACGGCGGACGGGGAATAGGGACTGCAGGGAGGGGTCGTCGCTCGAGGGTCTGGGCCCCGGAGCGGTGGGCGTTGCCTCAGTAGAAGTCTGATGACTCTAGCGTTTTGCACTGCTTGCTCAGAGTCGCGTACTGCCCATGGTTGGGTCCTGGTAGGGCATCGCTTCCGCCCGGATGAATGCCACCGTGCTGGGACTTTTCGTCGCGAAACCCTCTCCCATCTCTGCAAAACGACAAACGTCACTGTTAATTACATAGTTACACAGCGCATAACTTCACAGACAAATAACATGGTCGGAGACTAAAGAAACAACATATTTCAGTTGCGGCACAAAAGAAATACCAAGTTAATGAACAAAATTAAACTAAAATTTTGAAAAAAGTTAAGCTACTACTACAAACACACACATCACTACCACACTTAAGTCGGTAAATAGGAAAAAAACATAATATTTAAGCAAAAGCAATCAAACTTTAAGGATTCAGAGCTTAGATAAAATGTGAACATTACAGAATCAACAGATGGGTTTTAATAAACCTACAAGATAGCATCTGACTAAGGTTCACTGTTTGTTAGCTTTACCATAGGGCAAGAAATAAATTATATCAATGAACTAAATGTTTCAGAGCTAATAGCTTAAAAAAATCAATAAATTAAAAATGAAATTAATCAAGCATACCAAAATAAGGCTACAGTAAGTTAAACAACCAAATTAATGTAAAAGATAAATAAATATTATACTGAATGGTAGAAACAAACTAATGTCTACCACTCAAGTCTCAATTGTACTTGCTAGCGCTAGCAGCTTTACTTTTACATTACCACCATTTTTTAGACACAGCATAGAACTTGAAAGTGTCGGAATTCCTCATAAAATTCTGCTGTAACAACTGCCTTGCTAAGATTTTGATTGAAACGAACCAGATAGAATATTTTTGAACATGGAAGCAACACCCAAAATTCACACAGTTTGCACAGGAATTTTCCTTTGGAAAGAATTGCTTCAGATCCTAGCTATTGATAACAGCATTATTATCCAAGTCCAGGAATTTTGGTATTTCATTTGAGGATTTAAATTGAATGTGAATGGTAGTAATACTACACATGCATTCGACACATACAGCAGGTGCTGTGAGGCTGCGTGCAGCGCCCCATCATGCAGCATTTTATGGCGAAACAAGCCTGAGCTGCCGTACGACCCTTGGCTTCGCAGAGTGCGTGCTGCAATGGCCTGAGATGCTGCTGTTGGTGGCAGGTATGGATCTTGCCCATCAACTTGTTGATAATTTTTCCTGTAATAAAATAAACAAAATAATCATTAAAAAAATACTATTTGTAATGAGTTCTTAATTTACAAATTTAAAATACTCAAAATTTAACGTACCTGTTGCCAAGATAAATCCAAGTGTGAGAGTCCACCCAGAACAGAATTGTAAAGCAGATTCCACACAATGCACTTGCAAGCAACATGAAACAAAGGCCATACCTGCAAAGGAAAGTCATTAGCCAATGTTACATGAAAGAAAGCACAGACCACAGCAAGGCGGGAAGGAAAAACTTACAATCCTCTATGGCAGATTCGTGTGCTTGATATGTAGTGAGGGTAAATTACTTTGCACTCCAGCTGCCGCTGCAGTTCAGGGACCATCAAGGCCAGCTTGTTCATTTGATCACCAAGATGATTCATTTTGTCTTTTTGATCAGGGTAAAGTTGATCTGAGATTTGAGTAGAACGTTTGAAGCTCTTGACTGCAGTGTTGACGCCATCACGAGTTTGGTTCAGAACTCCTCCCCATGGATTAGGAGCTCGAGGGCACCTCATATAATACTCAAGAACCTTTGCATCTTCAACATTATGTACTCGACTTTCAAGGTAAGTATCAGGTTGCATGCAGTAGTCTCCTATAGCCTAAAACATTACAAAAAGACAAAACTTTGAACTAAAGAAAACAGTTGAATTGAAAATTAATTTCTTTTAGGGTAATATGGGTTAATTACATACCACTGCACCAATTAGATAAAGAGATGCCTGGAGCCAGCACACAATGACGGCAAGCAATCCACACACAGAAAACCTGCAGGAATTTGGAAAATTAGAAAGAGTTGTCAATCATTTACAGAGCAAATCGAAGAAGCCCAAGTTCCATTTTCTACTTACGTGATTAAGGTACACCTGGAATGTCTGCACATGCCAATGAGCAAAATAAGGCAGAAGATGACCAGCAAACCCCACAGACCCATTGTACCAATCCACCTGTGGAAAGAGGTAAATACCTGTTAGTTACAATTCTAAAATAATTATTTTTGAAATTTAGTGATTTATCACAAACAATTTTACCTGATTAGTTCGACTTTACCCAGAGGATTGTAAAGCCATCGTAGTTTGAACATATGCATAGACCGGTTGATGCTTGTGAATTTTTTGTAAATGTCATCACTGTCAACGAAATTAGCAAGTGTTTCCATTTCCTTCCCAAGTTCCACATGACGAGTGTCAGAAGTTTGAGATGGTGGGGTTCTAAATCTGGTCTGTAGGGGATCCAAGAGATGTCGGGCTTCTGTCCGGATTTCCTTCAACCTCTCCGTCTGCAAATTTGATAATAGAAAAGTCACACTTTTATGACATTGACAGAACTTTAAAAAAAGCTCAATAAAACACATTACCTTGATCTCCAAGTCTTTTACAGTGTTATCCATTCCTTTTAGACCATCCAAAACCTCCACCATCTTTTCATGAATTTCATGATTGCCGTAGAGACATGCAGCAACAGCAGCCCTAAAATGAAAAAGAAAAATCAAGAATTTTAACGTCAGCATTAGCTCAAGAAATTCATCAAAAGTATTAATATTAAAGTCAGGTACATACCACGCAAGTAACACGACAAACACAATAGTGACCCATTTGCAAGCGGTGATGGTCCGCTTGCGCCTCGGTTTCCGATCACAACATCTTGAGAGGAAGTACATTAATAAAATCAAGAGTGTTAAAATTAGGCATGCTGCGGGGATGAACGCCAAGATGCCCAAAGACTGCAACAACACAAAAACAAAAAATGAATTCCAGTCCAACACTAGAGATGAGCTGAGCCGGGAGAGTAAAACACACAAAAAGAAAAACACTCACCTCGAGGTACAGCTCGTTCTCGGGGGCGAACGTCGAGTTGATGAGGTGCAGGCGAATGTTGAGATGCGGCAGGTTGTGCAGCAGCACCGCCACCAAGGGGGGCTGGTAGTCGCCCGCCATCTTGCCCTCTGCGGTGCCGGCTGGGGCTGGGTGTGTGGACGAGCCTCGGCCTCAGTCTCCAGTCACTCGCAGAGACAGCGCGGGGGTGGGGTGGGTCCCAAACCTGGAGCACGGCCTAGGCATTCTGCAACACAAGACAGCCTGCGTTAGCGCCCTCGTCCTCGGCGAAACAAAACGACAGCTCGGTCTTGCATGACACTCTAATCCTATTGCATGGATTAAGACGACAACGATAGAAAAATTGGACTGAGGAGATTCCGGCGGCCACTCTCGTCTCCAGTCAATCAGATGCTGGGGCATGGGAAATAATAAATGGGCAAAATAAATGAATAAATTGTAGCAGCCTCTGCAGCGTATGCTGCGGTGCTGCAGTCCGGCAGGGCAAGCCGGTGAGGCCGAAGCCGAAGCTCCGGCCGGCCAAGCCGAGGGCCAAGCAGGCCAAGCAGGTCCTCGCCGTGGTCAGGCCGTGCCGGCCGTGCCAGTGCCACTCCACGCCATCGATCGCCGCGACCACGCCTACCGCCGCGCCGCCATGCGCCTTACGCCGCCCCGGCCCAGCCGCCACCCCGCGTCCCGCGTCCCGCGCCGCCGCCACCCTCCGCGCCGCGCGCCGCCACGCCGTGCGAGGGCTTGGCGGGCTTGGCGGCGGCGCGACGCAGAGCGAAGGGTCGCCGTCGGACGCGGGGCGGCGACCTGCGACGCGGAGCGCCACCACGCCGACGACGCGCTAGTCACGACGAACAAGTGCACCGGGCAGGACTGGAGCCCGACAGTGGTGAGGACGACACACGCCACCGCGAGGCCCAGAAGGGTGAGGTCTTGCTCTCCCACTCGCGGGGCGTCCCGCAAGGGCGCGAGAAGGACAAGGGAGGCACTCCGCCTCCTCGCCTCTCCAGGCGGAGAGCACGAAACCAAGGGATGAAGAGGGACGCGAGCGAGGGCGCCGAGTGGGCCCAGGCAGGCAGGGCGAGCGACCCGAGCCGCGCCGAGTGTTGTCGCTTTTCTTTTCGAGGAGGCGAGGCAAGAGAGAGGCTCCCCCGCGCCTCTTCCGTGGCGCCGCCGCCGCAGCGCACTCCACTACAAATCGACGGATCGAGAGTCTAACGTGTTGCGGGGCACAGGGGACGGCCCGCCAGCGCCAAGCACCTTAGCAGCAAACGAGCCTCTTGCCAGTCTTCAGAGTAGGCAGCCTGCCGCCCGTCCCGGGGACAGCCACAGCAGACTGGTCCCGAGAAACGTTTTCGTCGCTCTGTCTCTCTCGCACCGATAGGGGACGCCCCAGGAGCGCGACAGAGACAGGGCGACGAAAGCGACTCTCGGAACCAGTCTGCACTGCAGCCATGCGACGTTCGACTGGACGGGGAGCGGCAGGCAATGGGGCGGTGACGAGTATTTCCGTCCAAAACGCGCCGCGACGCCGCGTCGCAGCGAGACGGGGACCCGAGCCGGGCTGGGGACTCTGCCCCTGCAGGCTGACTCCGAACATAGCTCGCCGGCTCCCTCGCACTCACGGGATGGATGGGGCGCTCCGAGGGGGGCGAGAGAGACAGAGCGACGGAGGGCTTTGCCCCCTCCGATGCGGGTGTGCGCTTGCTTGCTTGCAGTGTATGCTTCTTTCTTACCGACGCCACGGCAGCGGGGGAAATTAAAAAGAAGAGGGGAAAAGACGAAGAGGGAAGTACACAAAGCGCGCAGTGAGACAAAGACAAAAGGAACAACGGCGCGCACACTCCTCGTCCCTAACTGGGTAGACCTGCGCCCCTGCATGGCCTGCATGGCCTGCACACACCGCGCACAACACGGACTGCAAAGCACGGTCGCAAGGCAGAGAGTTCGTCCCAGAAATAATTAACACTCCGTAACGCGACGTAAAGCATCCCTACCGACCGCAACAGCGTCGCAACAGCGGCACCGGAGACATGCCCGGCCCGCGGCCCGACTCGGAGCTGCAGGCTGATTCCGAGCGTCGCTCTGTCTCTCTCACACTCGCGGGGCGTCCCGTACAGGTGCGAGAGAGACAGAGCGACGACTCTCGGAGCTTAGTCTCATTTAACGTCATCGTGATTTAATTAACCCGACACGTCCTCGGCGCGTCCGCTGCCCCGCTGCCCTCATGAGGGCGGGGCTGACAACCCGGCAAGCAGCAGCGGGCACCAGCCACTGAAACTGGAGACAACGGCGCGCGGAGCTGCGCGGAGCTGCGCGGAGCCCTGTGTAAACCGTTTGATTCAAGTGACCGTTTCCTGTTCAGACTGCACCGCACCACGCATGGCGGCGGCGGGCGGCGCGCGGCACGCACAAAGCACAGCCATGCCCCCTCCCTTCCCCCTCTTGGACCGCGCTTTTCAAATGGGATTACCGCCCCCCCCCTGCCCCGCCCCCGCGCGCTTCACTTACGCCCCCTCGCCTTGCCCCCGCCGCGCCGCGCCACGCCAATTCATAGCCGCACCATAAATAATCCATTCCGGCCGCGGCGCCGAGCCTTTCCTTCCCTCTCGACCAAAATTTGCCCCGGGAACCTTGAAACGCAGGGGCGCCGCGCCGCCCGGCGTTTATGCCACTTTCCCTGCGCGCAGGCCGGCACAGGCACGCAGTCGTTTCCGGGGCCGTTCAGTTTTAGACTTTTACAGTGCCCGTGGCTTTCCCATTTCCTCCAGACGCAAGGCGGCGCGCCGGCCGGTTGTCGCTGTCTCTCTTGCAGCCTTGCGGAGAGTCCCATGAGTGCGACAGAGACAGAGCGACGAAACGACTCTGCCGAATCGTCGGGTAGGGAATCGGCAGGTAGGGAGAGGGGCGACCGCCTGACCGACCCACTGTCCACCACGACGAGGAAGACCGACCCGAGATATCGATTTCTGCCGCCAGCCTGTGTGTTTGTCACTCATCCCCGACCAAAGACCAAACAGTCCGGGCACGATGGGTGCGTGTCTGCGTATAAGTACACCGCCACAAAGCCACCACACCGTTTAATCTTCGCGCGAGGAAATTCCATTAGCGTTAGAGACGTCAACACTCAAGACGCGTTTTTGAGCTCCAGAGTCGATAAACAGGACTCGAACCGAGCGTGTGACCCCACCAATGAATTCCGCGTTCTGAGAGCAATCCATTGGTGGGGTCACGCGCTCAGTTCGAATCCCATTTAGCGACTCTGGAGCTCAAAACGCGTCTAGAGTTTTGACCGCCTGCGCCGATCTTCTGGCCCACTGTGAACCGCCGAGACAGGTGAGTTCATTGACTGGGAAGAAAGACGGGGACGGGGACGCACGGCCAGGGTAAAGGCGAGCCAAAGGGACACAGGGCGGGGCCCTGAAGGCCCTGGAGGCCCCTCGGGGGGCCCTTCACGGCAGTCCACCGGCCGCCACGCCCGCCACGCTTGCCACGCCCCCCGCACGTCACACGCCCGCATTCCGGGGGTTCAAAAGGACCGGGGCCAGAGGGGCGGGGCGGGGGGCAAGGGCCACATCAAAGGGCCGAGTCATCCGGCAAAGGCCAGCAGTAGACCCATTCCGAGGGCCCGTTGTCGTCGCTCGGTCTCTCTCGCACCTATACGTCACGCCCCACGAGTACGAGAGAGACAGAGCGACGAAAACGACTCTCGGAATCGGTCTGCCGCCGGCCTGCTCGCCGGCCAGTCCCGGCCAGTGCACGCAGTCCCACGAAACGACAACACTGCGAGTCACTACACTATATACGTACCATCTGCGCAGTCGGCGGGTCCGCGGCCGCCACCCCTCGGGGCCCGTCGACGCCAGCCCGGTGACCATCATCGCCATGGTGACGGACGTCGGGGGACACACCGGCCATGCCGCCGCGCCACGCCACCACGCCCCGCCACGCCGCTACCAGGTGGACCTGCAATGACACAAGCGACGCGGGTGAGCAGGGCGGAGCAGGGCGACGCGGTGCATCAAATGTTGACAAGCAAGTGCACTGCAAGTGCAGCGATGCAGCGACGGGGCGCACTCCACTTTTCCCTCGCCTCGCTCCCAGTTTCGTTTCCTTTCCCCCTTGCCTTGCAGTGCAGGCACACTCCGGTGCTGGCCGCCCCCATCTCCATCCACTCCGAGATCCACTCCCGCTCCATGACGCGAGAATGCGAGAATAGAGCGCCGCCGTGCATTGTGCCGCCGCACTGCAGCGGCAGCCTCATTCCGAGAGCCGTTTTCGTCGCTCCGTCTCTCTCGCACTCATGGGGTGTCACGCACAGGTGCGAGAGAGACGGAGCGACGACAAAGCGACTCCCTCGGAGTCAGTCTGCAGAGTCAAAGAGACGGGCCGGCGGCCCCGTCGAGTCGTACCTGACGACAAAAGGGGGTCCTTCCTCTCGCAGGCTGCAGGCTGCTGCAGGCTAGGGATGCAAAATTACCGGTAATTTTCAAAATTACGTAAAATACGGTAAATTACCGTAAATTACCGGTAATTTTGGTAAAAAACGGTAAAATTCTTTTCTTTTAAATGGTGTGCTATATTTTAGTGATTTTGTTGAAACTAAGTAGTAAGCAGGGTTTTTTTTTTGGGTCAGAAATGATTAAATCTATTGAGAAGTTCAAAAGAAACACTCCCAAGGAAAAACACAAACGTCCCTAACTAAAGGGATATTTCGCGGCCCTTGGTATAGGGACGGTCCCCATGAAATGGCCAGTCCTATGGATAGGGACAGTTCCTTGTCAAAGGGCCGCGAAATATCCTTTGAGTAAGGGACATGCCGCGGAGTGTTCAAGTGTTCAAAACATTATCTCTTGAAGATCAATGTACAATATAAGAAACGCTTTGTTGAGTGAACTTTTGACGCTGATTAAATGGTAGTGTCGCCGACACTACGTATCTACAGCCATTTGCAAGATACCTTTAATAGGTGTGTAGCAGGTTTGCTTACCTAAATGCGTCACCTAAGTGCGTCACCCTTTTCAGAAAATGGCTTGAGCGTTTCTAATAAGGTTTTCCTTAGGGGAGAATTGAAACTGTATATTGCAAAATACCGAAAAATTCGAATTTTACCGTTAATTACCGATTTTTCGGCTCTTCGGTAAATTACGGTTATTTACCGTAATTTACCGTAAGTTTACCGGGTAATTTACCGCCTTCGCATCCCTACTGCAGGCTCGCGAAGTTGTCATGGCAACACAGCGCGAGTGCGCGGGGGTCCGCCCGCCTGCCAGCCTCGCCGCTAGCGCCCCTCTTCCCCGTCTCGCGCCCCCGCCTGTCACCCTGGCTTTTCTAAAACACCCACGGCGCGTCGCGTAGTCGCGTCGCCTAGGAGGACCCGGCCGCCCCGGCGCCCCGCCACAGCGACACTCCAGGGACCGGCCCAACCCATCCCCCACAAACTCTAACACACACACACACACACATACACCGACACCCCCCCCCCCACACACACACACAGCCACACGAGAGGAGAAGCTTCCGTCTCCGGTCGAGGCTCTCCCGGGCTGCTCTGCAGTCGGCTCTGCAGGCACTGCCAGGCCAGGCAGGTGCGCGCCCGGAGCGAATGCCCGAGTGGGAGAGATCGTTCCGACGCGGCACTCCTAGACGCCGGCCGAGGCACTGCCCGAGGCCCCCCAGGGCGGGGCCAACTTCGTAAATAAATTCGACGGGTCGGTGCGTCCCAGAGCCAGGAGCCAGGGCGACCCGAGGCCCACCATCCCCCCCCCCCTCTCCCGGAGACGGCGACGCGGTCCCGGCGTCATGCCCGGGCCAAATCTCGCCAGAGCAAACAAAGCAGGAAGAAAAAGGAAAGGGACGAACCGCGCCCTGAAAAACGGCGGCGGCAAAAAGGAGCCTCGCTTTTGCTCCGCCCCGCCCCGCCCCGCCCTGTAGGGCATCTTCGTCCCCGTAAAGCCCCAGCCAGCCAGCCAGCCAGCCACTGCCGCGGCTCTGGAAGGCCCCGGCGAAACAGATCACAAACTCGCACGTCAGGTCAGGCCAGAACGCGAAGCCTTCGCCCCGCCGGCTGCCGGTGGAGGCGGGCAAACTCCGAAGCCGGTGCTGCGGTCGAGCGCGGGGTGCGGGGGGAGGGGGGAGGGGAGGGCAGTGCCCGTCCCTTGCCGCCGCCGAGTTCGGCCCGCGCCGCCACAGTTTGAGCGACGTGCATCCCGTACCATCACGTGGCCAGACGGCCAAGCCAAGCCGGGCCAACCGGCACGCTTTCGCCAAAACTCTACATCAACACTGTTGCGTGCTGGCGGCGCTGGCGGCGGTCGGCACTGACGCCGCGCTGACGCCCTGCCCGCTAAAGAGGCGCCCTGCCCCGGCCTGCCGTTGTTCTGCCCCGCCAATTGACGGCCAACAGGTCGTCGGGTCGCATGCACGGACACTCCACTCGATCCGATTCCCGATTCCACTCCACTCCACTCGCGCGGCGCGGCACAACGCGCAGCCAGCCCATGCCGCAGCCAGACTGAGTCCGAGAGTCGCGCTGTCTCTCTCGCACTCGCAATCGCCCCGCATGGGTGCGAGAGAGACAGAGCAGCCAGCCCCGCGGCCGAGCACACCCCGCGGGCACATCCTCGTCGATACCATCTCCGGCACGGCAAAAGGGGATGCCAGCAGCGCGGGGGCAAACGCAAAGGACGCCAAATGATGAGGAGAAAAAAAAAATAGGAGAGGAAAGAAAAATAAAGAGGAACGAAAAACAGAGCGAGACGAGAGACAAGAGAGGCGAGCATCACAGAGAGGTATAGAAAAGAGGCGATCCTTTCACTCGGAGCCGCGGCACGCAGCGGCGGCCCCAGGGGGGCAGGCAGCCCGTCAGGCAGGGAAACGTACTTACTACGCCACACTTGCAACTACGCGGGCGTCGGTCGGCATCGTGGAGTATCGATTGGGGAAGCACCCACCCCCACTCCTCCCCTCCGGGAACATGAGCTTCAAGGTGTGGAACGTGACATGGCGCGGCCAGTGCGCCGCCGGCACCGCCCCCGCAGTGGGGTAGGCCGTAGGCCAAGCCGTGGGCTGTGGGGCCAAGGGCCAGGGATTAGCGCCGGCAGGCACAAGAAACAACAGCACCGCCGTCAGGCACGCCGTCAGGCACGCCGTCAGCCCGGACCCGCAGCCACGACGCGACGCACGACCAGTTGCGCTGCTTCGCCCCTTCGCTGCTTTGTCATCGAACATCGCGTCCCGTCAAGAGGGAAGCTGCCGCCGCCGCCAACAACAAGTACCCGCATGTGTACGGCCGGTCCATCACCGGCATAGCAGCAGCACGACGACTCCCACCCCCTCGGCGGACGCGGGACGGTCGGTACGCCGCCGCGCCGCCGCCGTCTAGACTGCAGGCGAGGCGTCGGTGCTTTGGGGGCGTCGGGCCCCGCGAGGGCGAGGGGACACGGCGTGCCGCACCTTCCCGCCAACCCCCGCCAGCCGCCCGGCCAATCCGCGGGCGGGCGGCGCCGACTCCGAGCGGGCCGCGGCGGCGAGCACAGCGAGGAAAACCAACACAGAGCGCCGTGCCATAATTCCATTGACTTTACAAATCACTTGATAAGAGGATAATGGTGAGGATGAGGAAGTCGAGAGAGTCCGTCTCCGCGGGGACCGCCATCGCCACTGCGCCGCCACGGCGGCGGTCCCCGACACCAGTAAATGAACAAAGAGTAGTTGTAACATCAGCACTCGCTCTATTGACTGGCGCGGAGCCTCGCCAAACTTCATCAATCGTAAAGAGCGAGAGGGAAGTACACACAAAGGCAGGCCGCTGGGGGATTGGCCCATTGGCCTACGCGTCCGTCGACGGGCGTACGGCCGACTCGCCGCCCACGGCAGCAGACTCATTCCGAGAGTCGTTCGCGTCGATCTGTCTCTCTCGCACCTACAGGGGATGTCCCATGAGTGCGAGAGAGACAGAGCGGCGAAAACGACTCTCGGAATCAGTCTGCGGGCACGGCAGCGCGGCCGCAGCCAAGTTCAATAAACCAGCCGACCACGCCGTGCCCATTGACGCCGAGCCATGCAGTCCAGGCCGCGCCGTCCCCCGTCGCGTGCAGCTCGCAGTGCTCGCGCCAGCCGACAACAACGGCCCGCTGATCATAAGTTCGTCGCTTTCTCCTTCTCACTCGCACTCACGGGGCGGCGGCGCGGCGCCCGACTGAGACAGAGCGACGAAAGCAAACGGTCCGGAAACAGCCTGGACACCTGCACTCTAAATGTCTTACGAAGGAATTTCCCATAATACGAAGGAAATGGCGCAAGCATAATACGAAGGCGGTTTTTCTTCGTATTACGAAGGTTTTTCTTTGTATCTTACAATGAAAAAGCTAAAAAGATTCGTATTACGAAGGAATATTGCTTCGTATTATGCTTGCGCCGAATTTACTGTAACATACGAATAACATAGGTGAAATTTCATTGTAAGACATTTAGAGTGTGTGCACCGCGCCGGGCTTATCCGCGGCCACAGCGACATGGCGCGGCGTGGCGTGGCGCGGTGGAGGGAGGGAGTCGCACATCTACCACACATTTAGAGCTGGGAAAAAAGTTTGGGTGGTCAGCGCTCAGGGCCTGCTCTGCTTGCTACTAATGGCCGTGGGCCGGCATGCGGGCTGCGTGTCCGGCCCGTCCGCCTGTCTGTCTGTCTGCTTGACCGCGTCCGTCCGTCCGTCTGTCCGCCGCGGCGCCACACTCACACTCCGCGGCGCGGCATTAATGCGATGACCATCGGACTGCTGGCAGTGTGGCTCCAACGCCCCGCCACGCAATTAGGCTAAATATATTACGGCCAAGCGAAGACCGACCCAGCGCCCAGTCGGCCAGCGGCGCCAGCCAGACCACTGCTTTGTGTGGAGCGACGCGCAGCGCGCAGGCACACCGCAAAACCAGCGGAGCGGACCAGCGCAGGCAGACCAGTGGGTATCTGAGGAACGGCCCACCCCGCCCCGCCCCGCCCCGCCCCGCCCCGCCCCGCCCCGCGCGTTCCGGAGATGGCTTCCTACCGCAGGCGGAAGGACGGGCCGCTGGGGCGCTGGGGCGCTCCAACGGCATGGGGCGCAGAGAGGCTGGGCAGCCGATCCGCCCCGCCGGACCAGCCAGCCAGCCCGCCGGGCCGCGCGGGACGGGAGTAGTCCAGCAAAAAAGCAACAAAAAAGCAGCCAAGGGGAGGAGAAGCGGAACGGGACAAACAAGTCAGCGAAGGGACGACGGAGGCCTTTTGCCCTTGCGATGCATTACGGCCGACGGCGGCAGCCAATCACGACGCTGTCCGCACTGCGCCACTCGCGGGCCGACGGCCAGGCCAGGCTCGGCCAGGCTGCAGGGAGGCCCGGCAGGCCGACTCCGTCTCCATCTCCGGAGACGGAAAAGCATCGTACAACACACACGCTCGCTAAATCCGTTCCTCTGCAATTTCCTCTCGGGATTGTGCTTGCCGCTCCAGGGCGGGGCCCACTGGCGCACCCAGAAACAGAGCACCTGCCCCGGGGGTGGAAAAAGAGAGAGAGAGAAAGAGAGAGCGAGTAGGCGGAAGAGGGCGGACGACGACGGGCGCGGAAGCGGAATTTGAGAGAGATACTGTAGGTACTCACGGCTGAGCCGCAAAGAAATGGTAGACTCACATGTGTCGGTGTCGTCTCCCCGTCGGCGAATCCTGCGGACAAGCGAAACAAAACCAAGTCAGCCACGACGCGAGAGCAAAGAGTGACGCAGAACAAAACGACGGCAAGCGCGCGAGCGCAAGCGCCGCCAGATGGAGACACGGTAAGGCGGGCTCCCTTTTGCGACCCCGCGTCGCCCCGCGACAACCGAGTGCAATATGTCGGCGATTTATTTCCCGTCCAGACAAACCCAGCACAGCGACCCACCCTCCACGCCGCGGGCCGCCGCGCCGCCGCAGTGCGAGGCGCACCGCGGGACGCCGCGCAGGGGGAGAGGCCCGTGACGAGCGCCGTGACTCAGCGGGGCACCGCGTCAGCCGCGCGTCACGGATGTATAACGGGGCCAAAGGGGCAGCCCGGCGGGCCCAAGGGGCACCGCGGAGGGGCCCTTCCGGCGAGGGCGAGACACACACACGCGCGCGCGCACACACACACCATTTTCACGAGGGGCCCACGCCCACCCCGCCCGCCGGCCCGGCCCCGCGAGCTGTCGAACTGCTGTATGACGCGACCCAGGAGGCGCGACCCCGGCCGACGCCCGTCATGCACAAGGCCCGCACACAGCCGCCGGATATGTACGCACGGTGGCAATCAAACAAACAGGGTACTCGCCGAGGGAGGCCCCGCCACTATAAATACTACGGGCCGGGCGGGTCGGGGCCGGCGAGGCCCTTGTCTTGGCGGGGTCAGTGAGGATCCGCCGCCACGCCGCCACAGCAGCGGCAGCAGCAGCAACAGCAGGGCAGCCACCGCGGACCTGCATAAGTCAACACGGCAACACATCGCCCGGTCGGCCTGCATCTCATTGCCCGCCTCCATGCTGGCCGCGCAGGCCCTGCTGGCGCCCGAAGTGGGCCGCCCCACCCGAGGCCTCACCCCGCCCGAGGACGCCAGCAAGGACCGGGGCCACGCACAGTGGGCCAGAAGACCGGTGAGGCGGCCAAAATTCCAGACGTGTTTTGAGCTCCAGAGTCGCTAAACAGGACTCGAACCGAGCGTGTGACCCCACCAATGGACTCCTCGTTCGGAGAGCAATCCATTGGTGGGGTCAAACGTTCGGTTCGAGTGCCACTTAGCGACTCTGGAGCCCAAACCGCGTCTGGAGTTTTGGTCGCCCCACTGGTCTTCTGGCCCACCGTGCGGCTGCCCTCTCTAGCACCGCAACTTGGACGCCGACTTTCCTCTTGCGGTGCAGCACGTCGCCGAGGTGTTTGTCCAGCTCGCACAGTCAAGACACACACGCAGCCTCGACCTTGACGAGCCGAGTCTGGAGGACGCGCAGCGACGCAGCACGGCGCAGCCGAGGCCGTGGGCAACGCGCAGGGTGCAGCGCCGAGCCGAGGCCGAGCCCATGGCCGGCCGAAGTGCGGCGCGCCCGGCAAACACAAACAGACAAGGAAAACACCACGGCCTCCCAGTGTCACGGCGAGCACGTCCGCGTCGAGCCGCAAAACGAACAATTACGTTTCCTCCAGTTTTCCACGGCCGACCCGGCAGCCACCAAAACGGCCTCGCGCGGCGCGGGGCGCGGGGCGCGCGCACGTCACTCCAACTTTAGCCAGCCCCCGCGGGGCCCCGCCTCGAGCCCTCAGCCCGCCGAGGGCCCCGCCGGGGGGCAGGCCGAGGGGCGCGGACGCGGCGCGAACAAAGCCATGCGTAAATACGCCACGACCCGATCCCGCCCCCGCCACGGCGCCCCCGCCGCGCCACTGCCGTACCGCGCGTCCCCGCGGAGCCGCATCACTGAATACCAAAGCAGCAGCCGCGTAGCGGCGCACACCGACCAACCCTCTCAACGCCGACCCGGGGGTAACCCAGGGGCTGCACAGACAGAAGCCCTCGCAAAAAGAAGAAGAAGAAGAAGAGGGAGATGAAGATGGAGGAATAAAAGCCCTGTCCACGCCGCGCTGCGTGTGGGATTACGCGTGCTGCACACACACGTACAGTGCACACACACGGCAAAGAGCGCACGCCCTCACCCCGCCCAAAAAAAAATACCAAAATCAAAAACGCTTTGCGGCAAAAGAGCGCGCATGTGCGCGCGGCCTCGCTGTTACAGTGCGGTTACCGACAGGGCGCGGACACGGCGACAATGGCCTGCCTGATTGAAGCCGAGTGACACGCATGCACGCACACACCCAAGCCAGGGCCGCGGCGTGGTCGCCGTCGCCGTGCACCAGGTACCACTTATTGGCGGGTGGGCGTCGAGGTGGTGCAGGCCGCGGCGTGCAGCAGACTGATTCCGAGAGTCGTGTCCGTCGCTCTGTCTCTCTCGCACCTGCACGGGACGCCCCATGGGTGCGAGAGAGACGGAGCGACTCTCGGAATCAGTCGGCGGGGCGTGCAGCGCATACAAGGCGGCGATAAGCCGCGGCGGCCCGGCCAAGACCGCCCTACTCCCCTCCCCTCCCCGCGCCACACGACAGTGTACACGCAACGCGGCAACGCCAGCCGACGTGCAGCAGTGCAGCACCACCCCCTCCCGCCGACAGCGACACGTACGACGTGCGCCTTGCGCGCCGTACGCCGTGTGACTCATCGAACACACAACGGCTCACAGTGTGGCGGCGGGCCAGGCCGCCCGCCCGCCAGGCCCAGGTGAAGCACTGCCAGCCAGGCACTGCCTGATAACGAGCCTGGGCGCGCCGCGCCTCCACGGCACGACCGCGGCCTGCACGACCAGCCCGGAGGGGAGGAAACGAGGAAACGATGCGCCGACGCCAAGCCGCACGGCTGGGGGCTGTTTGCCACTTTCCAGGTTCCAGTTCGGAAAATCATATTCTCTACCACCGCCTACCACGCTCCGGGCTTAAAAATGCTCTTGGCAGAGAAATGCTCGCCCCCCTCGCCTGTCGGCACAGCGACGCGACGACGCACGGTATAGGCCTGTGTGTCGGCATGCCGTCCATCACTCAATCCGAAAGGCAAATGACGAAGGCAAAGGCGGCCTCGGAGGTCACGCCGCGAGTCCGCGGGCCGACAACCGCGCACCGGCACCGGCGGGGCGGGGCGGGGTGGCCACCATCCAAACGGGAGCAGCGCGCGACGGCCAGAGAAAAGAGAAAGAAGCAAGGTCGCGACAGACGGGTTGGCAGGTCTGCATTGCAAAGACACGGACACGAACGGCGCATCAGGCCAACGCGACAGCAAGCCACACCAGCAAGACCAAGCAAGACCCGCCCCCGCCGCCGGCAGACGACGCGAGCAGACGACGCAAAAGCCCGGAACGGCCATTTTTCACAATCCGGACATGACGCGCCGGTGGCGGCGGCCACGGCCGGGCATCCATAAACCTCGACGGAACGGACGGGCGGCGACGGGGGCGGTAGACGAAAAGAGGGGAAACGGGGGGGGGGGGAGGAGGAGGAGTTTCCAGGAAACACCCGAAGGGGCCGGAGGGGCCCGAGGGCGCTGGGCCCGGGGCTTTCGGGGAAGGATGTCACGTCCTCTGTTATGGCATGGAGATGTCCGCCGCGCCGCCGCGCGGACACTATCGTAAGCCCGTCCGTCATGGGCGCGTCGAGGAGCCGGGGGGGAGGGGGGGAGGGGGGAGGAGGAGGTCACTGGAGCCGGCCTTACGCAACGACACGCAGGGCGACGACGACGCCGGGCGCCACCGCTTCACACCTGGCCGCGTGCACCGAGTGCACCGAGTGCACCGCGACAGGCGCGGCGCGTGTAACTGCGTTTATCCGGGAAAATAATTCCCCCACCACCGACACAGTCGGCACTCCGCGCTCCTCTATCTGCGGGCGAGATCGCGGCAGACATCACCGCCACCGCCACCGCGCCACGAGCCGCAGGGACTCGAATAATTACGCTGCAACTTATTCCAGGCAGGCGAGGCGTGGCGTGGCGTGCCGCGTGCGCCGCCACTGCGCGCTGGCTGGCTGTTGGTTGGTTGCGCCCCCAGGCGACACTGGAGCGCTAGAGCGCTGCTAACCGGCTCGCCGCCCATCGCCGCCTAGCCCGTGTCCCTGTCTCACTGATGCAGCGTCCGGCAGCGGAGCGAGAGAGAGAGAGAGAGCGACGACATAGCACTGTTGGAAATCGGGCAGCTGGCCCAGCAGGCCCCAAGCAAACCACCCACGCCACGCAGGAGGTTGAGCGCGCAGAGAAATGAAATAAAGGAGGCAAAAAAGCCGCGGCGCTCCGCGAAGCGTGTCGCCCCACCTCGCCAATCCGGCAGACCGATTCCGAGAGTCGTCGTGTCTCTCTCGCACCTGCACGGCACGCACCGCGAGTGCGAGAGAGACAGAGCGACGCCAACGCCTCTCGGAATGAGCCTGCTGGGCGGTCGGCGGAAACGCGGGAGGGCGCGGCGAGGCGCCAGATGGCCGCGGCGGCGCGTCCAGGACGTCGAGGAGGGGACTAGGACCGAACCGCCGAACCGCGCGGCGCGCCGAACCATCCCAGCGGCCGGGGCTTAGCGGCTGCGCCGCACGTACGGGGGCTCCGGGCAGCTTTGGACAGGTGTTCGGCCAGCCCACCCTGCCCCGCCCCGCCCCGCCCGGATTCCATCCAGGGATATGGAAGCCTTCATTTGGGAGCGCAGCGCGTGGCGCGACGTGGTGGCTTAGACCGGCCGCGCCAGTCCACACCGACGTTTACCGCGGCCCACCCGTTGGCCGGGCCCGGCGTTTTGCGCCGTAGGCCGCATAGGGGCCATCACCTACGCCTCCATCGCCACTACCAACACACGCGCGAGTTTGACGGGACAACGCGGGGCCGCCCCAGCTCGGTCTCTGTGTACGTTGGGGCGCGTGCCGCGCCAAGGATTACACACTGGACTAGCCATCCCGAGCTCCGTGTCTTCTAGTTGAGCGGGACGCGCGGTGCACCGCATGCGGCCCCGACCCGACGCCCACGCGTCCGCCTCATTCACGCATTCACGGCGGCAATCTCGGCTCACTTTCACCGGCGAGGCGCGGCTGGCCGGACTAGGCCGACGACGGCAGCGGACTGCATGGCGAGGCGCAAGAAAGGCCTGGCC